CATGCAGACTTTGGAGGCCTGCTTACTGCCCATGCGTCCACTGTTCCCTCCACCTGCACACCTGACCTGTGCCCCCTCTAGCTGTCAGACTCTTACTTATCCTTCAAGGTCCAACTCACCTGCCACCTCTTCCAGGAAGCCTGTGGGCACTGGAGACACAGGAGCAAACAAAACAAGATAGACAGAGTCTATCTGTCCCTCCAGAGGGTTTCTTGGTATGAGTCATTTGGCAGTTAGTGATTCATACCTTAGGCTGGGTTTCCAATCATTCGTGTAGTGACTTGGGTCTGAGCCCACTAGTGTACCAAGCACTGATTGTGCTGGGGCTGGGGCCAGGGGAACAGAGATGAACAAGTTGTCTCCCCTCATCTCCAATGCCTGGCCTGGTCTCTCCTTTATTATTAATTGAAGACCAAACTGCCACTCACAAGACGGGGTGACGCCCAGGCGATAGAGTGCTCAACACACACATAGAGATCTAAACTGAGCAGTGCTGAGATACCGCACGTCGGCGGCCAGGTGTTACTCCAGACACAGAGAAGCTCTTTTTCCTGAGGAAATGGAGCCTGGCAGGCGGCCATCCAGCCAAGCCACGGAAGGACGGCAAGCAGACGTCCGGTGGCTGGACTTGGCTGGAGGCCCTGTCCTCAGATATGTTCTTCGAGCTGTGCCCACCCCTGGCAAGGGCCAGAGCTGCCACCTGGGGATGTGGGGAGGTCTGCGGGAATGCCTGGTGCACAGGCGGAGACGGGGGAGGAAAGTCGGCAGCCGGTGGGGGGGCCTGGGCTCAGGGAGTGCCACACAGGGGAGGAGATCTGAGGACAGGAGTCAGCTGAGTCCTGCTCTCCAGCCACAGGGAGGACGCTGGCTCACCAGTAACCAACGTCACAGGCAATTAGGGGTCCAAGGACAGGGTCCCAGCCCCAACACTGCCACTTGTGAGCAGGTAACCTTGAGCAAGTCCCTAACTTCCTCACCCATAAAGTGGAGGCAAGAAGCTGCTGATTCAGGTCAAGACAATGGATGTGAAAATGTTTGGTAAGAAACCTTGAGTGGTGAATGTCCCTATGCACCCTGCTGCCCCGCCTCACGCAGTCACACGTCGTCCACTTCCACCCGCCCAGGTCCACCCATCCAGCGGACATGGAGCCCCTGCATTCCTTCGGCTCCCTTGGAGCCCCCGCCTCCATTCTCCAAGAGCTAGGCAGGCGCAGCATCTTGCAGCCCCCTCGCGGCCACATGGTGGCACTGTTGGAGCCTGGCGCCCAGACCCACGCAGCTGGCGGTCCACCTCGCAGAGGGGCCCAGGACAGCCCCCCGGGCTCAGACTCCCTCACTCACCCTGCTCCGCCCCAGGATCAGGAGGGTGCGGCCTGGGTCCTGGTTGATTCGGGGTCACCCACGGGACACCAGCTCTCCCAGTGTGACTTTAAACGGAGGTTTTGGTGCCCTCCCTGCCTGCCACTGGGCTTGTCTGGACCCTCCCTGGTCCACCCAGGGGTCGCCCTAACTTGGGTCCAGGTGCAGGGAGCCTCATCTTCCTCCATCCAGAACTCGCTGGGCTCCTTTTGCAATCCATCGTCTTCTCCGCAAGCCCTGAGCAGCCCGGAGATTCAGGAGGAGCCACTCAGGGGGTTCTGACTTGGCCACCACCAAGGGGAAGTAGTGAAATTGCTCTGACTGTGTGATTTCCATTTCTGATGTATAACCCCACTTGCCCTGCGGAGCCTCCGTCCTCATCTATGAAAATGGGGGGTGGGGGTCCCAGAGACCCCATACTCCACTCTCCACAGAGCTACAGCCTCAGGTCTCTGGGACCACCCCCCACTATCTTCACAGATGAGGACACGAGGCTTAGGAGGGCAGGTGCCACGCCAGGGTCACAGTGTGCACTGGCAGTGGCAGAGCAGGGACCCCAGCCCAATTCTCCTGAAGGGGAGCCCTGCTCTGATCCAGGGCTGGGGAGACAGGGGAGCCTCCGGGATGAGGAGCTCTCCCCTCCACACAGCCTCTCTGGGTCTCACACACAGACCCCGGCTAGGCAGGGCCCAAGGGTGGTGCCGCAGGGGCTGTGACCTCACTGCGGTCTTCAGCACAGGTTGAGCTGAAGAGGAGGGCGCTGGGGGCAGGAGGGAGGGACATAGCCAGGCTCCACTGAGTCTGGGCTCTTCTGGGAAACTGATGTCCAACGCTGGTGTCCCCTCTGACCGGCTGAGTCTGCCGTGGGAGGCCTTCTAGAAGTCTCCCCGTGCACTGCCTGGTCACAGGAAGGAGGCCCCGCCTCCGGGCCGCGGAGCGGGCGACCCGCTCGGACCTGTGGGGCTGAAGGCGGCGGACAGTAAGGTCTCCGGGGCGTGGGCGGCGGAGCCCCTCTGGGCCACACTCGAGCTGGAGGTCAGCTCAGCCCTCGCGACACGCCCCGGACAGAGCCCCTCCCCTCCGGTGGTGTCTGCGGGGCGGGGCTGCCCCCACACCCCCCGCGTCCCCCTAGCGCCGCCTCCGCACGTGTCCCCACCCCGCCCCTCTCCCCCCTCCCCGCACCCTCTCAGCGGGAGCTGGGCCGCGGCCCATCGCAGGCACCAGGCCACAGCTGGAACCGATTACGCCCCCAGCGCCTCTCGGGACGTCTCGGCTAATAAGTGACCCTCTGTAAAGGTTCGGAATGAGTCAAGGTTGTGCCGCTGCTGCTTTCCCGTTAGCGGTGGCGCCGTGGATGCCCGGGGGAGCGGGAGGGAGGGCGGGGAAGGCCGAGGGCCAGAGTCCTTCCTGGAGCTGATGGCGCTGCGCGGGACCTGGGGTGGTTCTCGCCACCCCCGCTGGGCCTCAGTTTCCCCGTGTGCAAATAAAGGGGTCAGGGCAGACAATCGCTGAGCCGCTTCCGGCTGCCTTTCCTCCGGGAAAGCAGAGGCTGTTGGTGGTCTTGGTCCCAGGTGCTTGCTTGGACCAGAAGGGATAACAGGCACATCCTCCTCTCCCCTGACCAGGGCTCTGCCCCCCCCACCCCCCACTCCCCACCAGAAGGCTGCCCACTACCCAGCTGAGTAAGATTGAAGGGGGTCACCTGGGGGAATGTTGAGTGAAGGCACCTCCCCAAAGCCCCCAGGGGACTCAAATTCAAACACCCAGGGGAGAACAAAGGCCCCGCTGGACCTGAAGGAGGACAGGGTTCCCACTCCACCCACTCCCCAGGGAGTGGGGTTCCCTATGTGGCATTTGCTCAATGATTGCCCATTGCTGGACTGCTGTCAGGGATGAGAACGGGGCCTCACCAGGTGTCATGTAGGAGCCCGGGTCTTGGGGTGACTCTTGGCAGTCTGTCACTGGCCCAGAAGAGTGGTCAGTTGTTCTGGGGCAGGGGTGGGAGGTGGGGTCCTGGTGGAGGAGGAGGCCTCGTGTCCAGGGAGTATTCGAGGTGGATGTGGGAGGAAGATGCCAAGCTGGGGTCTCAGGAGGAGGGAACGGAGTGAGAGTGTACGGGGACAGTGGGATGGGGGGAGCAAGGGTGCGCCCAGTAAGCCCTCCCCCTGCCACCAGCCTGAGTCTGAGGGTCAGAGCCAGGTGGAGGAGTCTAGACCTGTATAGAGGGTCTTCAGAGAGAGCTGGGAGGAGAGGGGGACAGGCAGGTAGGAGGCTGCGGGTGGTCATTCACCAGGACCCTAGGCTGGGAGAGAGATTTGGGGAGTCACAGGGTTGGGACCATGCTGTGGCTCTGAGGGGCCACAGGGAGAGGGCTTCTGGGAAGGCGGAGGAGGAGAGGGTCTGGGCACGTGGTGACGAGTTTGAGAAGTCTGGGACTCTGTGGGGGGACGTGGCAGGAGGACTCTGGTTTGCCACCCTAAAGAGTCATTGGGAGGGGACATCCCAGTCACTCTTTAATATTTAATTCACTGCCTTAAAGTCAGCTATCCTAAATGCAGCAGGGCAGGTGGGCAACTGTGGACTGTCCTTCCTCCTGGGTGACATTGTCTCATCAAGCCGTCTCATATCCAGAGGTTTCCTGCTGGCTTGGAATGGGCCACCTCTGACCCCAGTGTTCACAGACCCCTGAGCATCCTCCCCACAATCAGCACCACAATTAGACCCAATAAGAAGTCCCCTGCCAGGACCAGGGCCCTAGAGGGCACTCCCAGACCCTCCCCAAGCTGTGCCCTCCTCATGGAGCAAAGAATCCGGAGGGCCAAGCAGAGAGCCAGCTCAGAGCCCAAGACCCCCAAGTCCAGTCTCAGTTACCCAGGACTCTGGAATTTCCTGCCCACTTCCAGGCCTATTCAGACCTTTTCCATAACAGGTCAGCTGTCTGGACTGGCCAGGAAGGAGGGCTGTCCTCACTACCCTCCCACTGCCCCTCCCTCCGTTCTGCCCACCTTCTCCCCGGGCCCACATGTGCCCCTCCCAGTGGACAGGGTGAAGCCCCTCACAGCTGGCCTGGTTCTAAAGGGAGGTGGGTGGGTTGAGCCTCGGTCCTTCTGTCTGTGTCAGCCCCTCTCCTCACCGGACTCTGTGCCTGCTGGGTGGGGTTCAGGGCCCTCCCCCAACCCCCACTGAGAAAACCGTGAGATTGCCTGCTCCAGGTGGGCAGGAGGTTAGGGACCCTGTGGACCAGAGGCGAGGGCGCCTGCCTCCCAGCACCCCTGGAGCGATGGACCTGTGATCACTCAGCCCAGCGCTCAGCCTGGGCCCCGCAGAGGGGGAGCAGGGCCAAAGGACAGGGCGTGGTGCCCACCTCAGCTGGGTCTTCTGGACAAGCTCTTCTCTACGTTTCCTCATCGCTGCTCAGAGCAGTGCTGGGGACAGGCAGGGCGCCATCCCACTTTACTGGTGGAGAAACCAAGGCACATGCCTTGGGTGACCTCAGCCTTGCCCAGTCCTCTCCAGGGCACTTTGCTGCCTCGGAGGAGCCCCGTGGTAGCCCCCACTCACTCCAGTGGGCTCATATGAGGGTGCCTGGCAGCTGTCCAGGGGCCTGCCACCCCAGGTGTCTCTGGGTGGGTGTTTTTCAGAGGCTGGAGGACACCATCCTGAGCCCCATGGCCAGCAGAGAAGACCGAGCACTGACCATGTGTGGGGAAGGCTGGCGGGCTTCACCCACCCCCGTGCCTGCCCGCATCCGTGAGATCGTGGCCAGTAGCCTGGGCGAGGAGCCACCCCAAGGTGAAGGGAGGTGGGGATGGTGGGGGGAAGACACCAGGGGAGCCACAGAGTAGTCAACTGGAGCCCAGCTTCAGGGACCCAAGCCCCCCTCACTGTCCCAGGACCCAGCTGGCCCCTCCTGGCCTGTTGTCTTCCCGTTTGTTGGGGCACAGAGCCATACCCTCTGACAGGGGTCGTGTGTCGATACATCACCCTTACCACTAGGCACAGGGGCCGTCCCGAGCCAGCGCTGCATTTGTGTTTGTGACACATTAATGACCACCAGTCTTGATTTCATCCGTATTTATTTTTTCATTAGATGAGTGAAAATCCTGGGGTTGACACTCAGGAAGCACAGATGCTAAGCAGCCTGCCCCCCCAAGAGCTTTGCCCCCATCCTTCACCCAGCCCAAAGGCCCGCTCACCATGCCCTCCTGATTGTCACACTTTGCAGCCAAGGAACTGGCTCCAAGGCTGCGTCCCTGCGCCAGGCCATCAAGCCGGTCAGACTGCCTGGCCTCGGTGTGTGCTCGTCTGAGGCGCTGAGGACAGGGTGCTGTGGCCAAGGGAAGGGCCCTAGGTCTGGCCACCCAGGCTGACCCCAGTGCTGCACCTGCAGGGGTGCAAGAGCCACCGGCCGCCTCGGCCAGCATGCAGGAGGAGAACGAGCTCCTGCAGGAGGAGTTGTCCCGGCTGGAGGACCTGCTGGCCCAGGCGGGCGCCGAGCGGGACGAGCTGGCCAGCAGATATCATGCCGTCAGCGAGCGGGTAAGTGTGCGCAGTGGGCACAAGGCAAGCCCGAGGGTGGCCGCCTGGCCTGGAGTGAGGTGGTCACTTGTTGGGACTGGCTGTCGTGTCAGTGGAACCATCAGCGGGTCTTAGGACGTAGACTGACAGTGCGTCAGCCACCGCACATCCAAACCCTGTGCAACAGATGGGGAAACTGAGGCTGGAGGTGGGAAGGTCAGAGCTGGACAGGTGTCCAGGCCTCCCCACCCCTCACAGCCCCCCCAGGTCTCATAGCCCAGCATAGGCATTGCCTTGTGCCTGCCTGCTGGGAGCCCTGTGGGGGCGGCCCCGTCCGTCCTGGCCCAGCGTGAGCGCAGCACCAGCACTCAGCCAGTACCTGGCAAGGGAGGAGGCAGCAAACTGGGAGGAAGTGACCCCGCGGGGGTCTTGCTGAGGGATTGGCCCCAGCGCTCAGCCAGAGCCTGTAGAGAATTGGCTCCGTCCGCAGCCCCCACCCCTCCCCGACCACAAGGCCTCCCAGATCTCAGAGGACAGCTGTGACCGTGGCCCTTGGGTCCTCGATCCCTGGTCCCCTGGGCAGCCACAGTGCCTTGCAGGGTGACTGGCAAGCTGCAGCAAGAGGCCTGTTTGGTGATCAAGTGTGAGGCTTGGGAGGGCCTCCCATTGTGTAGGTGGGGAAACTGAGGCAGAAAAGTGAAGGCACTTGCTAGACCAGAGCCTCTTTCACATGTCAGACACTCCAAAACATGCCAGCTTCTGAGGCAGGACTGGGGTGGGGCGGGGGGCCCTGGCACATAGTGTTGGGTGCTCAGAGCCCCTGCTGAGTCTGGCCCAGTTCCCACGCCTCTGTCCTCAGACCCCCCCGTTGCTCTACGTGGCAGGACAGATGATCCCACTTTCCAGATGAGGAAACTGAGGCTCAGAGAGGGCCAGAGTTGTCCAGGGCCATGCTGCCGTTATTGGGGCTGAGACCTGAACCAGGTCTGGCCCTTCCTGTGGTGTGACCAGTGACCAGTGCTAAACGCCTGAGGGCCCCTCACTGGCCTCATCTTCTCTAGGGTCCTGAGGGCTTCCTAGGGTAAGCGGCATCACGAGCCCCACAGAGGTGCCCTCTGCCCCGACCCCCTCACCGTAAACATCCATTCTCATCGTCCCCTCCACCTCCCATGAGCCTCCTAAGGCAGGACCACGAGGGGAGGGTCCTCCTCATCTCGGTTGATCAGGGCCTGGAGCACATCATTGAGCTCGCCTGCCCTCGCTGGGCCTCTGCGGCTGCGGGCCTGGCCATGGGGGTGGGGTCTTCCTAGCACAGGGTGGGGAGATGTTGGGAAGGGGCCCAGGGGAATAGAAGCCGCAGAAACCCTGCGGAAGGATTAGTAAGCCTCGTGAGTCAGATCTGAACTTGCGGACCTGGCAGCTCAGCGCACACGCCGGGCTCCCGCAGGCGTCTCAGTGCACTCTTGTGCAGGTGCCAGAAGGGGCTGGGCCTCCTCCATCCCCCCAAGCAGCAGGGCAGGGCCAGGGCGGGGTGGAGGTCAGGATGGCCAGCGTGACTGTTTCATGGGCATCTCCATCCCAGGTGGCACTCCCAGCCCCCGCCCCCGCCCCCCTGATCCAGCTGGGCCCTCGGCCCCTCCTCTCTCATCCTGCTGGTAGCTGAGGAGGGGCCACTCACCTCCCCACACACATGGCCTGGTCACACCACAGGTGTGGCCTCCAGGCTCTCCTGTCCTTCCCGCATCTCAGCCCCCCAGTAACCTGTCTACTGGGCCTGAGTCCCCCTCCCCGGACACCCCAGAGCGTCTGCCCTGGGTCAGCACACCTGGGCAGGGCCCCCCTGCACCCTCTTTTCCCCTTGGAGCCCCAGGGACCCCATCTGCTTAGGCTCCAGCAGGGAGCAGGGAAGGATATAGGCTCCGGGGAAGGCCTGGCCTGGTATGGATGGCTCCTCCCCTCCAGGCCAGCCTGGGGGCTGCAGGCCTGGGTCACAGTGGGTGTGGCCCCCGCGCACCTGCTGGGTAAGGCTCTGGGAGCAGACAGGTGTGAGCATGGGCAGGAGGAGGAGCAGAAGGGGTGGGCCCCCACACGTGCTCACTCTCACGAGGGTGACCCCAGGCCTGCTCTGCAACTCAGCCATCCTACCCCTTATATGGCCCACCCAGACCCTGGAGGCCCCCACCTCAGCCGGCCGTGGGCACCTGGCACAGGGGCAGGGTATGGACGGCCACCCCTCTGACCCACCGTGTGGAGGGGCCTGAACTTCTCCAGACCCAGCCCGACCCTGGGGGAGCCCTCTCTCCCACCCCAGGAGGGGTTGGTGCCAAAGCAGTCCAGCCCGGGGGGCTGGGGAGTGGCCGGCCAGGTGGGCTAATGCTCCTCTCCAGCTGCAGGCCAGGCTGCAGACCACAGAGGCTCGGCTGCGGAGGGCGGAGCTGGAGCACAGCGTGGACCTGGAGGAGGCCCTCGGCCGTCTGGAGGCCGCCGAGCAGAGGTGAGGCCGGGCAGGCCCAGCAGTCAGGGCTGCAGGGAGCTCGGCCAGCACCCCTCGAGGCAGGAGACCCCACTGTGCTTGAGGCTGTTGGCCAACCTCTTCCCAAAGTGACTCTATGTTAAACTTGCCTGTAGGAGTCGGGGGCCAGGCTCTGTGGGGCAGGGGAAGGGGGCCTGAGCGGGGGAGGGGTGCGGGTCCCGCAGGGGTGAGGGTCTCCCTGGCCCTGCTCTCCCAGCTGTGCCCCCACAGGAGGCTGCTGAGGCTGGTGCCCTGGCTGGTCCTGCAGGCGGGTCGCCCGAGCTGACCCCCGGCCCTGGTGACCCAGCCAGTCCTGGGTGCCCATGGTGCTGCCCTCACTCTCCTTCTTCACACCCGCCCTGACTCCCAGGCCCCTCCGGCTTCAAGCCCCTCTGATGTTGTGGTCAGGGGCGCGTTTGGTCACGTGCAGCTCAGCACCCCCAGTGCTAACCCCAGCCCCCAGAGGTAGCCCCAGCGCCCCCAAGCCCTGGGAATGCAGTCCCCAGAAGGGAAGGGTATCTCTCCATGCTCCCACCAGGGGGGGGTTGAGCCCCCAAGCCCAGCTCCATCTCCAGACCAGGAGGAGGTTAAGCCATTCGTGGAAAACTTCCCATACTTGGTTCACCCTCAGGGACTCTGGAGAAGGAGGAAAAGTGCTGAGAAGCATTTTGAAAACCAGTTTTAAGGGGGGAAATAACCTAAGTGGAGGCTGATGCCCAAGGAGTAAAGAGGAACAGAGAATGCCCTGTTGTGGCCTGACAGCCGGGCTGGGAGGTGCTGGCTCTTGGAGGGTCAGTGCCCCCAACCTGGCAGGCTTGGGCTCCCTGACTGCAGCCACATGCAGACCTGCCACTGGTGGAGAAAGGCCCCAGGGTCACAGGCGGGGCTGGCCCCTCCACGGGGCACGCCAGACTCCCTCTCCCCACCACCCTGCCCCGCTGCAGGGACGGTGCCTCCCTCCTGGCCCTGGTACCCTTGGCTGGTGCTCCCAAGCCTTGCCCCTCTTGCTTGTCTCGCGGTTCACCTCTGCACCCCGGGATTGAGGAGCCAGCCACAGTTGTGGGGGCAGGACCAGAAGGAGAGCACAGAGGGGGAAGGTTTGGGGGACCATCGGGGCCCCATTGCAGGTGGTCCGTGCTGCTTAGGGGCAGTGCAGGGGGCTGCACACCCGAGCTGGGGTCGACTGGGCCCAGGAGGTTTGGGGCCTGGGTCTCTGAGTGCCCCTCTAGGGAGAGGCCACCCACCCACGGCCACATACTGTGGTTTCTGCCTGTCCAGGAGCACAGGCCTCTCCCAGGTGAACACTTTGCTGCGGGAACAGCTGGAGCACATGAAGAAGGCCAATGACACGCTGGCCGAGGAGCTGGCCAGGACGACGGGCAGCATGCTCCACCTGCGGGGCGAGCTGGAGCTGAGGGAGGCACAGCGATGGACTGAGAGAGAGGTGCTCCCCCCCTTTCGCCCATTGGTGGGGGCGCTTGTTTTGGTGCCTGTGGCAGGGTTGGGGGGGAGCCAGCGGGGAGCCAGCAGGGACCAGGAGAGGATGAGTGGCTTCAGCTGTGGCTCCTCCTATGGCAAGGCCACTGGCCTCCTGCTGCACCTTGTCCCCCACTCAGCCGGCTGTGGGGTGGGGGACACCAGAGTGGGGTGACCCCCTCCCTTGAGAGAAGGAGGGCAGAACCCTGAGGCCAGACTTGGCAAGCGAATGGGGTCACAGGGCGGGTCCTGGCTCAGCGTGGCCCACCTTGCTGTTGAGCAGAAAGGAGGCCCCCGCAGGCCTGACTCCTGGCCTCAGAGGGGTCGGAGCACAGCGCTCCAGCCTCAGTCCTGTGGGAGGAAAATGTCCAGGCGTTCATGCCTCTGTTCCCATCTGTCACTGGATGTGGCCCCCTGACAGGGGTGTGGCCTGGGCAAGGCAGCTCTCTGCAGCTGAGGCGGTCCCTGAAGGGCCTGAAGGTGTCCCCATGGCCCTCCCCGTGTCCGCCACGGGCGCGGTTGGCAGGACTTCTCTCCAGACACTGCCTGGAGAATGGCTGCCTCCTGGTGGAAGGAGTGGGGCCGGCCCCACAGACATCCCTCAGACAAGCCCACCTCGGAGGGCCGTCCCTGCACTTCCCACACAGGGCAGCCACCTGGGCCCCCTCAGGCCCTCGGGGCAAAGCTGTCCTGCAGGAGGACTTGACCCCACTGGCCCAAGCCCCTCCACAGCTGTCCTTCCTGTCAGGAGCTGTGTGGACCCTCTGCTGCCACCACCACCCTGCATGGGGAGAGCAGGGCACCAAACAAGCCAACTAAGGCTGCCCTTACACAGTGTCACCAGAGTGCCATGTCTGTCATCACAGGGGGTCGCTAACGGCAGGGCTTCCAGCATGAGGTCAGGGAGGTATTTGAGACGAATCACGCCCCACACCCCTGCCTGGTCCCCATCTTCCCACGGCTAGGCTTGTGATGCTGTGGGAAACAGATGCCCTGGAGGACAGGTCCCTAGAACTCAGTTTGACATTGGTTTATTAAGGGTCTTTATTTCCCCCTCGTTCTTGAAAACGATTCTCGCTGGTTGTAGGTGTTTCCTCTCAGCACTTTAAAGATCCCCTTTCTCTGTGTTCTGGTGGCTCCATCGTTTCTGCTGAGAAGTGGGCTTCCAGGGCCTTTGATTCTGACCGACTCCTCGTAAAGGTAATCTGTCTTCCCGCTCTGGTGCTTTACGGCCTCCGCTTTGACCTGGGTGTTCTACAGTTTTCCATGATGTTTCTGTGTGGAGGTTTCCTTTTGTGCGTCCTGCTCAGGATCCATCAGGATTCCGTGGCCTTCACTATTGGTGGAGAGTAGCCGTTACCTCTTGGAATATCGCCTGTGCTTGCTCTCTCTCCTCGCCATGCGTTAGCCATTCTACGCTCTCTCCCACGCTTCTTAGCCTCTCATACTTTCTTTCTTTTTATCACTCTGGCCTATACTCTAGACAGTTTCTTCAAATCTACCTTCCTGATCATCAGTTTTCTTTTCTGGTGTCCAATCTCTGTTAAACCAGCCCACTTGGCTTGAATTCCAGATATTGTATTTTTCATCTTTAAGCATTCTGGCTGATTTATTTCCAAATATCTTACTCTTAACTCATATTTCCAAGCCTCTCATTTATGTTTAAAAAAAAAACTGTTATTTTGTAGTCTGTGTCTGCTGTTCTAATATCTGAAGTTCTTCAAAGCCTGGTGCCACTGTCTTTGCTGGCTCTTGACCGTGGTGCTTTGTTTCCTTGTGTCTTTAGTGATTTGTTAATTTTTTTAACTAAAAGGTGTTTATCTTACTTGGAATTTTGTGAAAATTCTTTGAAACTTGGAATGAATGTGATATCTTCCAGAAAGGATTTTCATTTCTTCAGACAGGTGCCTGGGGGCTCTAACAGTCCTTGAGGCCACATTGAACTAAATTTTCAGCTTGAGTTTTTTTTGAAACCACCCAGGTTTTGTGAATTCAGGCTGAAAATTCCATAGGTTAACTTGTGGTCTCAAATCCACAGGGAAAATGTTTTTCCTTCCTGTCTTAGTCCATCTGGGCTACCATAACATAGATTGGGGGGCTTACAAATAACAGACATTTATTTCTCACAGTTCTGGAGGCTGGAAATCCAAAATCAGGGTGCCAGCCTGTTCTGTGTCTGGTGAGGGCTGGCTGCCTGGATCATGGATGGCACCTTCTCACTGTGTCCTCACCTGGAAGGGGCTAGGGAGCTCTCTGGGGTCTCTTTTATAAGGGCATTAACCCCATTCATAAGGGCTCCATCCTTGTGACCTAATCACCTCCCAAAGGCCCCATCTTCTAATACCATCACTGTGAGTGTTAGGTTTCAACATATGACTTTTGGGGGACACAAACATCCTCCGTTGCATCTCCTTACAGTGTCCTGCAGGCAGGGGTGTGTGTGTGTGTATGAGAGCATGTGTGTGTGCATGTGTGTTCTAGTACACTCACCTCCAGCACACCTTACTTAGAGTCCAGCTTTGGGGTACCACTTCTGTGTGTGAGTAGACACTCCCTTTGGGTGGGCCCTGGGCTTTTCTCTCTGTCTACTGAACCCTTGTGGTCAAGGAAACGTGGTCAAGTTGCTCAGTTAGGCGAGCAGTTGCCTGTGTTCCTCTCGAGTCCCTGACTTCACTGGTTCCTGGCCTGCGTGTTCGTTACCTTGTTGGCCAGCCCAGTGCTGCATTCAAGAAGTTGAGAAGTCGGGACCCAGCCCTGATGGCCTAGTGGTTAAAGTTCAGTGTGCTCTGCTTCGGTGGCCTGGGTTCTGTTCTCAGTCGCAGAACCACACCACTTGTCTGTCAGTAGCCATGCTGTGGCGGCAGCTCACATAGAAAAGCTAAAAGAATTTACAACTATACATAACTATGTACTAAGGCTTTGCGGGGAGAAAGGGAAGAAAGAAAAGGAGGAAGTTGGCAGTAGATGTTAGCTTAGGGCGAATCTCCCTCTAAAAAAAAAAATTACCAAGTTGTGAAGTCTGCATCATAACATATGTAACCTTATGGCTGGTCCTGGCTCTGCTCCTCGTGTTACCAGGAAGAGCGTCCAGTCCCTGCTCCTGGACGATCACCGTCGGGGTGGGAAGAGGTGCAGCTAATGCAGGTGTACCAAGGCCTCTGGCACCAGGCACAAAGGGGCCTTCCCTGCAGGTGCACAGCAGTGTTACCAGACTCAAGGTGGGGCTCAGATGTGCACTCAGGGGGATCAGCAAAGGCTTCATGAGGGAAGAGGTGGGTGTGTGTGTCTTGAGGAATAGGCAGAACGTGAATGCACTCTATCGGAAAGCAAGGTCGAAGGGCATTGGGCGGGGCTGTAACAGGCGGGAGCCTACGGAAAGCACTGGGCCTGTTGGTGAGCCCTCTGGGGGTCCCTGAGGTCAGCATTCAGGACTCAGCCGAGCAGGGCCTGGGGAGGTGGTGTGGAGACTCAGGACCTCCTGGACTTCAGCTTAGTTCCCTGCAAGGCTGGCACCACTGACCACACATGGCTCCATCCCACTGCTGCCCCACCTCTCCACTCCACAGCCCCCCTAACGCACACGCGCACAGTCCTGCAGGGGCCCCGCCCCCCAGTACAACCCTAATTCGCTCTGCCTTGTCTCAGGGACAGCTCCCTCACCTGCCCCCCGTGAGCTCGAGTGGTTCGAGTGGTAGAGGCTTCTGTCTCCCCCACACCTTCAACTTCAAGGGCCAGGCCCCACCCTGATTTCTTAGGAGCTCTCTGAGAGTAGGAGCTGCTCTCTTGGTACTCGAGGGGCCAGAGCTCAGTGCTGCAGAAGGGCCTGTCGCCCCAGCAGGGAGATGGGGCTGAGTGGGTCCTGCTTCGGGGCAGGAGCTGGGTTTGGTCACCTCCCCGGGTTCCTCCAGGGTGGGGTGGGGGTGATCGAAGCACTGCCCCCTGTGGGGGATTTGCATTATTCTAGAAGATGAGTTTGTGGGACACAGGGGCTGCAGGACCTGGGACATGGTGCAGCGTCCCCTCTTGCCCCCGTTAAGCCTGCCTAGCATGGCGTCTGGAGGAGGGAGTTGTGGGGAGAGTGAATGGGGCCGCAGGGCTCCACTCACCTCCCAGCGCCTGGGCCTCTGCCTGAAGTGGACACGAGCCTGTTGCTTTCAGACCCCACATGCGCACTCGGGGAAGTCCCGGCACTTCCTGCTCCTACGGATGCAGGTCACAGCACTCCGCGCACACCTGGCTGAGCTGCGTGCAGCCACTGAGGGGTGAGTGCCAGCCACACCGCCTCCCGAGAACCCGGGAAGGGATCCATCAGGGCGAGGGAGGAGGGGCATCTGACAGGTCCCTCCAGGCTCCTCCTGTGGGTGCAGCAGCTCTGCACAAGCCCCCACCAGCCCTATCTGGACCTTGGCTGGCCCGTGGGAGTGGTGGAGAGGGCAGGAGAGGTGGACAGTGGGGAGAGGGACGAATGGACAGAGTCAAGTAGGCAGAGGTGCAGGGAGGAGAGCAGGCCAGTCAGGGGGACACTACAGGAGGGGAGGAACTACACAGATGAAGCTTCCGGGTCCCTCTGGTCTTTGCCAGGCGCCTCACATGCAGGGTCCTGGGGTCACCTTGATAGCCATGAGGTACATGTCAGCACCCCACTTATACACAAGGAAACTGAGGCTCAGAGGGTCAATGTCCTGCTCAAGGACAGCCTGTCCTGTCCAGCCTGGCCGACCCCCTGCTCACCCCTGCCCAGCTGTGACATGGGGACAATTGATGCCATGTGGCGGGACTTCTCCTGAGGATGGCAGGGGAAGGGGTCCACTGCGGGCAGAAAGCAGGGCTGACCTGCCCAGACCCCGCCTCTCCCAGCCCGGCTCAGAGCCTCCCGGGCGCAGAGCCCACCACCGGTCCTGAGGCTCAGCTGCTGGTGCCACCCTTGTCTCCCAGGGCTCTCGCTGACATGCGAGCGGATGCGGCCAGGACGGCCCGGCGCCTGCACACGGCCTGCCTGAACCTCGACTCCAACCTGCGGCTGTCGGCCAGCAGCGGGGCCGGCACCCTGGAGCAGCAGGCCCTGCAGGGCGCGCGGCTGGAGCGGCAGCTGCGGGACAAGGTGCGGGAGATGCTGCAGCTGCAGGGCCGCTGGGATGCGGAGAAGGTGGCGCTCCAGGCCAGGTGGGCACCAGGGTCTGGCAGGTCCTCGAGGGTGGAGGTCAGAGGGGAAGGGGCACCCCCGCGCTCCCTGTCTGCCGAGCAGCTGCCCGGCAGCTGTTCCGAGACGCGCCCATCCCTCACATGCAGTTTTGCATCCTGATTTTCACCCAAAATTCTGACTCCAGGACCCCTCCCCTGATGCCGCACACAGTTCGTAATCACTCTCCCAGCGGCTGCACAACGTGGGCCCAGATCTCCTTGACCAGTCCCCTGGAGGCCACAGTTAGGTCTCCCCAACTCGGAGGGTTTCAGTGACCACTGCAGTGGACACACTTGGGCCATTTCCTTGTGGCCGGTTCCCAGGGTGAAATCTTCAGCCCTGAGATCACAAGTGTCCTTCTAGGGGCGGGCGCTTATTTTGAGGTACATCATTTAAGAAGCTGATGCAGGCAGAGGGGCCCAGGCTGTCCTGGTGCGAATGAGACCGGGGACCCCTCTGGGGTCCGTGAGCCTCAGAGTAAGTGTGGAAGGCTCTAGACACAACCCACGTCGGGGATCAGAAGTCTCCTGAGCGCAGCTTCAGCAGGAAATGGGGAGACAGCCCCCCAGTGGAGGCCTAACCTGCCGCCACGGGGTGTGATTCTGCAGAACCTAGGGGTCCAGGCCTCACTTGGCCACAGACACCTGCCAGGCTGCCAGGGTCAAGCCCACTCTGCCCTCAGGGCCCAGTGGAACACACCCCAGCCCAGCCCCAAAGGAGCACCATGATGGGGTCCAGGGGTGCTGGACAGCCCAGTGCAGCCTGCTGGGGCAGTACCCTGGGGCCTGGGGCCACGGGAAAGGAGACCTGGGTGTCACGGGGGAGCCAGGGGTCTTTGAGAAGAAGGCAGCTCCTGGGAAGGAAGGGACAATAACATCACTCATTGTTAGGGTTATGGTGACAGAGGTTTTCCAGACAGAGGGAGCAGCCTGGGCAAAGGCCCTGAGGTGAGTGTTGCATCTGCCATGCCACAAGGACAGGACAGGGCCTCGGGGAACCATTGGATGTGAGAGTGGAGAGCTGAGTCAGGGTCATGGTGGGGGCCTTGAATACTGAACTCAGAGTCTGCACTCTGCTCCGGAGACAGTGGGAGCCGTGGAAGGCTCTAGAGCAGGAGAGAGGCATCTGATCAGACCAGGGACTAAGGCCTGCTCAGACAGAGGTGGCCAATGCCAGCGGGCCAGCCTCACCACAGGAGACGTCTGACAGAGCCAGGGCGTCTCCGGGCCACCCGTGCTCTGGGCTCTGTTCTCTGCGCTGACGACCCTGCCCCCACCCCGCCCCCGCCCCGCCCCGACCCCTGACTTTCCTCCAGACTCTCCGAGCAGACGCTGCTGGTGGAGAAGCTCACAGAGCAAAACTCGAAGAAGGAGAGAAGCATCTCTTCCCTCAAAATGGACGTTCAGAACCTGGTGCGTGGGGCTGGAAGGCGGTGACCCTGCGGTGGGGGGCATCTGTCTGCCTCACTGAGGAGTCTGCCCTGGCCACAGGAGTCCGGGCGCAGCGGAGGCCGGCTGCCAGTGGACGCCCTGAAGGACGAAGTGGAATCCCTGCAGCACGTTTTGAGCAGCATCACTAAGGTTCAGGCCCATCTTGGGTCCTTCCGGTGGTAAAGCAGCAGATGGGTTGCAGGTCCTGATGGTTCCAGCTGACCCGTGAGAGCCTGGAGCTCTCTCCCCTCCATCCCTTCCTCTCTGCACCCTAAAGGTGGCCCAGGCAGACGTGGGGTGCCCAGAGCTGGCATGGAGCAGCAGCACTGAAGGCGGGGAGGCGCGGGACCGACTGAGGAGACCCCCACGCACTGCGTCCCCCCACCGGAGCATGTCCCCGCCATGGGCTCGCTCCCCAGCTGCCCTGGACCCCGCACTGCTGGCCGTGCAGGCAGCCATTCAGAGGCGGCAGCAGCAGGAGCAGGTGGGTAGCCGCGCCCACGGGGGCACCAGAGGCAAAGATGTGCCCTGGTCCCCACTGGGGGCAAAGCAATGAAACCCGCCAGGCTGAAAGGTACCATTACAGGGCCTGCCCGTGTCTCGCCAAGGTGGGCTGACCACTGGGTCTCCATGGGGCCTGCCCCTGAGCCCCACAGCCCCAGGGAGGGGCCTCTGGTCTTAAGTGCATCCTTTCTGGGGAAGTCTGTGGTCAAAGGCCTGTCCAGGCCAGAGAGAGCTCACCTTACACCCCCACACCCAGGAGCTGCGCCTGCAACTGGAGTCCTCCCAGGCGGTGGCGGCCGGGCTCCGGGAACAGCTGTTGGAGAGCCAGCGGGAGCTGCGGGCCTCACGGAGGCTCCTGCAGGAGCGGGCACAGGAGCAGGCGCGGGAGTGCGAGGACCTCCTGGGCAAGCTGGAGGCGCAGAGCCGAGAGGCGCAGCACTGCAGGGCGACCAGCGAGCTCTTGGGAAGGTGATGGGGAGGGCTGGGCCAGGCAGGGTGGGGCCGGGCAGGGGCTGGGCTGGGCAGGCAGTCCCAGTGCTTCCCCCCTAAGGCCTTCCAGCAGGAGGGGAGAGGGCCAGCTCCCAGATAGAAACCCCTCCCAGCAAGGCCACCTTCCCTCGGCCCCCTGCCCGCCCTGAATGGGCCTCCTTTGCCCTTATCTGGGCCCATCTGGGCAGTGTCTGCCCAGGACTCACCTTCCCAAAGTCCAGACTGGGCATGTGCCGGCCCCTCGGCCTGCATCACACGCTCTCCTCCCAGGAGCAGGTTGTGCTGCCTCCACCTCCTGCCTGGCTCCCAGGACTCCTCCCTGGGTCTTACCCCTCCTTCAGAAATGGCCCATAAATCCCGGATTCCCTTCCCTCGCCATCCATTGGGGTGCCCAGCGTGCCTCCCTGGCGTGTCCTGTGGATCTGGTGGCCTGTGGTGCAGTTGGCCATGAGGCTCTCTGGATGCTTCTATGCACATCTTACCGCCCTGGGGTTGTTGGGAGTTGGGGGGCATGTGACAAGATCCCCCAAGATTTTTTTTTTAAACAGTTTTATTTATTTATTTATTTATTTATTTATTTATTTATTTATTTGTGAGGAAGATCAGCCCTGAGCTAACATCCATGCTAATCCTCCTCTTTTTGCTGAGGAAGACTGGCTCTGAGCTAACATCTATTGCCAATCCTCGTCCTTTCCCCCCCCCCCCAAAGCCCCAGTAGATGGTCATATGTCATAGCTGCACATCCTTCTAGTTGCTGTATGTGGGACGCGGCCTCAGCATGGCTGGAGAAGCAGTGTGTCGGTGCGCGCCTGGGATCCAAACCCGGGCCGCCAGTAGTGGAGCGCGCGCACTTAACCGCTAAGCCACGGGGCTGGCCCCCACCAAGATTTATAGTCCTGAATGAGCGGCTCGGTGGGGCTTCCCAAATCCACGCACTGCCTGAGCCGGAACGTGGGGAGCGGGCAGTGTGGTCTGGGTGTGCGTGGGGCGCTCAGGGAGGCTTCCTGCAGGAGCGGAGAGAGGAGCAGGTGCAGCACGCTCGCCATGCTCCCCCTCGCTCACTCCTGGGGGTCGGGCCTATAGCCCCCTCAGGGTGGCTCCTTCTCTCTGGGTGGCCTGACAGTGAGCTCAGGGTTGGGACAGGAGGTCCAAGGAAAAACTGGTCCCAGTCCTGCCTTGAGAGGTGCACAGGGAGGGGCAGAGAGGCAAGCTGGTCAGCTCCGCCTGGCACAGGGGCCTGGGAACGGAGGAGCCAGGAAGGGCCCCTGGAGGACAGAGCTGTGAAGAAGGTGTGTGCAGGGTGAGGCGGGCAGGGGCCACACCACCACACCAAGGGGTGGAGGGCAGTGGGGACCAGTGGGGAGCTATAAGCAGGGGCACCTCCTTCAAACCTATGGCTGGAAGGGCTAGTCCGGCTGCTGTGGTCCTAAGTGGGCCCCTTGGCACCGGGGCTGGGGGGAATCCAAGCGGCATTCAGGAAGTGGGGTCCCAGGTTTCAGGGGCCAGGGCCAGAGGGGGAGCAACTGAGATCTAGCTTCCTGGCTGGTGGGGGACATGCAGAGAGGGCTCAGGACTGGGTCAGCCACTCGTCACGGCTTTGCATGAGGGTGCTGGATCTCAAGGGTCCGGGGCCCTGTCAGGACAAGGTGAGCAGCTCAGGCAGATGTGGAGCCAGGCGGGCGCCGGGTGGGGAGGTGTCCTTTCCTTCCCCTGAGTTCTGCAAGGATTGGCTGAGCTTGGCCTGCAGGTGGCAGAGAGCTGAGCTCAGGGCTCACCAAGGAGCAAGACCCTCAAGTGCTTTAGGGGCTTCTGCGGGGCCTCAGGGAGGGAGACAAGGCCTCTAGTGGCCACCCTGCCTCAGCAGGCCGGCCTGGGGCTCAAGGTGGTTGCATCTTCCTCGTCTCTCCATGTGCTACCCTGAGATCCTGCCCCGAGTGGCCTCCACAGCCTGGCGCCCACTCTGCCCTGCCCACCCTGCCGGGGAGGAGCCTCGAATATGCCCAGTGAGGGTCTCTGCTCCCCTTCCCCTGATGCACATGCCGGGGCTGCTGCAACCTCTGCCTCCCCTGCTCCCAGGGAGAAGAAGGCTCTGGAGTCAGTAGTGGAGGAGCTGCGAGGGAAGGCGGACGCTTCAGGCATGGAGAAGCAGAGGCTGGAGGCCATGAACGCTGAGCTGCAGAGAAGCCTCCTGCTGTGGGCAGAGCAGAAGGAAGAGCTGGTCCAGCAGGGCCAGCGGGGCCGGAGGGAGCTGGAGACAAGGTGGGCTGGGCAGAGGGGCTGTGTGCAGTGCGGGGCCTGCCTCTGCCACCCCGGAGCTGTCATGCCCCCTCTCGGGGCCTCAGTGTCCTCATCCTCTGGTGGGACAGTCTCGTCTCAGGGGGTGGAGGGTGCCTGACGGGACAGCGGGGGTAAAGGGTTCTCCCAGCTCCTCCAGGCTGGGCCATCACCCCCACACCCAGATACCCGCTCCAACGTCTGGCCTGATGCCTGTCCCCAGGCAAATCCACCGGCCCACGCCCAGCGAGGGGGTGTCCCCCCAGCATGTGCGCACACACGCACACACACTCCTCGCCCTGGAGTGTCGACTGAGGCTCCCACCCCACCCCACCCCGAGCCCAGAAACGGGCTGGGTTCGGATGCCACCCCCTCAGACTCACCAACTTCCCAGCCCTCCAGGCTGTCCCCATGCTCCTTTGGGCTCCCTGGGCTTGGAGGGAGGTGGAGGCGACGGCCCTGCCCTCTAGGTCCTGTGAGGGGTCCCCCATCTCTCCCTGAGGAGACCTCACGTCCTCTGCCCTCTGGTTTCCGGGCCTCAGTCAAGGGCGGCTGGAGCAGCTGGAGGAGAAGGTCTCGGGGCTCAAGAAGGAGCTGGTGTCGGCCCGGGAGGCGCTGAACGCAGCACAGCTGCAGAGGGACCTTTTGGAAAGCGAGAGGGAGGGTCTGCGTGCCGCCCTGGCCCGGGTAGGCCCCCGTGCCTCTCTCTCTCACTGTCTGCCCAGCCCGCCTCCCTCCTACTCACCTCTCTCCTCACCCGCCTGGCCCTCAGTTCATCCCCAGAGCTCCAAAGTCACCAATGGCCTCCTCGGTCACAACCAGTGGACACTGGCCGTCTCCCCAGCCACTGGCCACACCTGATTCTCAGTGGTCTCTCCCTCGGCCGCCCTGTCACCTCTCCTAGCTGCAGCCCTAGTACTCAGGGGGCCACCATCTTCCCCAGAGGCCTTCCCACCATGGGACTCCTTCCACCCCGTTCCACACAGAGCTCCGGCTTGCACACCTCCACGACTTGGGGCTCACTCCCTCTCTGGCACCAACAGCTCTGCCCATGAATCTGAAAGTCCCTCCCTGGCGTTCCCACTTGGGGTGACCGCTGTCCTCCCTCCCTGCCCTAGGCCGAGTCCAGCAACACTGACCTGGAACTGCTTGTGTCCCGGCTGAAGTCAGAGGGGGTGGAGCAAAGGGACTCTCTGGCCAAGATGGCCACCCTGATGGAGGGGCTGGCTCAGGACAAAGGCGCCCTGAACCACCTGGTCCTGCAGGTGAGACGAGGGCCCGGGTGGGTGGACCTTGCCCTGAGCCTCGCTTCCCTCAGGGGTCTGTGAGGCTTGGTCCCAGCGCTGGGTCTCCAAGCCCTGGCCCCTCCTTTCAGCCATCCTCCACCCCATCTTTTCCTTTCCTGGACTGTGAGCAGGTGTAGGGGTCAGAGGCCCACAGAGGGACAAGGGAGCCTGACAGACCCTGGCCAGGCCTGAGGGAGGGGAAGCCATACCCACACCAGGGCAGGCCAGGGCAGCAGTGGTCAGCCCATGGAGGCTGAAGGCGCATGGTGCGTGGGCCTGGATGCAGACCCTTCCCGGCCCCCTGCTGGCAGCTGGAGCAGGAGCGGGACCAGCTGCGGGAGCAGCAGAAGGCTCTGGAGCGAGAGCGGGCAGGTTCCCAGGAGCAGCTGGCACAGGCGGAGCAGCAGCTGGAGCTCGTACAGGCTGAGCGGCGGGGCCTGCAGCAGGACTGCGGGCGCCTGGAGGAGCAGCTGGAGCAGCTGGAGGGGCAGGCGGCCCAGCTCCAGCGCGAGAGGGCCCAGCTGCAGGAGGAGGTGGGCCAGGTGAGGGGTCCACAGGGTTCCCGGCCCCTGGCCCCCGGCTGGCAGGGCCGCCCCAGCCTCTCTGGAGTGTGGACAGGTCACACATCACCTTGAGAAGTCACTCTGGCTCAGGATGTCAGCACCAGGCTTGCTAACTGACCAGGCTAATTTGGAGCCGGCTTCCCAGTGGTGAGGGGTGGGGGTCAGGGGGAGGGATACGCAGAGAAGAACGTTCGCATCAGGCCCGTCCCTGACATCCAGGGGCCGGGTTCTGATCCTCGTCACCCAGTGATTTCCGCACACTTGGGGGTGAAGGGTAAAGGTAAACCACACTCCTTTGTCTGATTTCTCTCCTTCGTGGACTACATCTCCACAGCTGGACTCCCCACTTACTCATTCACTCGTGTATTCACGCATTCGCTCCCAAATCTTCTACGGACAGAGATTTTTCTGTTGAGGAGGACAGACTCAGTGGGGAGTGATGCTGAAGCAGTTTTGCTTTTTTCTGATCTCAGCCTCATTGGTCCACACGGACACCCTGTCCCTGCAGACTTGGGCCCCCAGTGGCATTCGGATTCCATGGCCCCTGTCGCTTTCAGGACTAGGTACAGCCTCTTTTAGTTTCTCAGACTCGTCTATTTTCTCTTTTTTTAATCGAAGTATGATTTCCATGCGGTAAGCCAGTGTACTGCTCAATGACAATCGTATGCACACTGCCATCAAGATGCAGAGCCTCTCCACCAGCCCAGAAGTTTCCCTGTGCGCCTCCAGTCACCATCAGCCCCAGGCAGCCTCTGCTCTGATGGGTACCACCATGGACAGGTTTTGCCAGTTTTAGAACTTCTTGTAAATGGAGTCACAGAGTACAGGCTCTTTTGTGTCCAGCTTCTGCCTCTCAGCATGATGCCTTCAAGTGTCATCCATGTTATTAGGTATACCAAGAGCTTATTCTTCTTGACTGCGCAGTAATATTCCACTGAATGAATAAACACATTCACTTACCCATTCATCTGCTGCTGGACGTCTGGGTTGTTTCTAGTTTGGGGCTATAATGGACAAGACTGTGATGACCATTTGTGCACAAGTTACGTACACATACAGTCATGCATTGCTTAACGACAGGGATACGTTCTCAGAAACATCTGGTTGGGCGATTTCATCATCATGGGAACATCACAGAGTGTACTTACACGAACCTTCATGGTAGAGCCCACTACACACCTAGGCTCACGGTACTAATTTTAAGGAACCACCATCGTGTGTGCGGTCGGCGTTGATCGAAACGTTGTTATACGGTACAGGACTGTATGCTCGTTTCTCTTGAGTAAATACTTAGGGGTGAAATTGTGGAGTCCTTGGGTAAGTGTGTGTTGAATTTTGTGAGAAACTGTCAAGCAATTTTCTGAAGTGGTTGTGTCATTTCCCTCTACCACTGGCAGTAGACACTTCCAGCTGCTCCTGGCCTTGTCAACATTTGGTATCATCCGCTTTTATTTGTGGCTGTTCTGTGTGTGTGAAGTTATATACCATTGTGGTTTTAATTTGCATTTCCCTGATAACAAATGATGTCAAACACCTTTTCATGTGCTTAGTGGATAGTCACATACCTTATTTTGTCAAGTGTCTTTTCAAGTCTTTCACCCATTTTTTTGTTGGGTTCCATATTTTGGTTGTGGATGTGTAGGAGTCCTTCATATATCCTGGATACAAGTACTTTGTCAGGTAGAGGTACATCTCTTGTTTTCCTCAAGTTCGTGACTGGCCTGTACATTTTCTTAATGGTATTTTTAATGGACAGAAAATTTTAACTCTGGCAAAGTCCAATTTACTAAATTCCTAAAAAATTTATGGCTAGTATTTTCTAGGTCCTGCCTGAGAACTTTTTGCCTAGCCCAAAGACAAGGAAATATCCTCCTGTGTTTTCCTCTAGCCCCTACATTTAGCTCTATGATCCGTTTCAAGTTGATTTCTGTGAAGTGGTTCTCAGAGTGTGTTCCCCAGACCAGCAGCACCAGCATCCTCTGGGGACTTGCTAGAAATGCAGATTCTCAGCCCACACAAACATGCTGAACCAGACTCGGTGGGCAGGGCCCAAAAACCTGGATTTTAATTAGCCCCACAGGTGATTCTGATGCACACTGAAGTGAGAGAGCCACAAGTGTATGGTATGAAGTAGAAACTGAAGTCTATTACTTTTCATACTAATGTACAGTTGTGGGCCGGCCCCGTGGCTTGGCGGTTAGGTGCGCGAGCTCTGCTGCTGGCGGCCCGGGTTCGGATCCCGGGCGCGCACCGACGCACCGCTTCTCTGGCCATGCTGGGGCCGCGTCCCACATGCAGCAACTAGAGGGATGTGCAACTGTGGCATACGGCTATCTGCTGGGGCTTTGGAGGAAAAAATAAATAAATAAAAATTAATGTACAGTTGTTCCAGCACCACTTTTTGAAAAGACTCTCCTTTCCCCTTTGAATTACCTTGGCAACTTGTTGAAAACAAATTGATCATGTGTGTGCATATGTGTGCACAGATCATATTGTTGATCTGTGCAAATCAATCTGTTTGTTCATCTTTTCATCAAAACCACACTGTCTCCATTACTGTAGCTTTTTAGTAAGTCTGGAAATTAGGGAGTGGGAGTCATCCAATCTTCTTCTTCTTTTTTAAGATTGTTTCAGCTGTTCTAAATCCTTTGCGTATCCATATGCATGTTAGAATCAGCTTGTCAGTTTCTGCCCCCCAAAAAAACCTGCTAAAACTTTGATTGGGAGTGTGTTGAATTTATAGATCAACTTGAGGAGACTGGACATCTTACCTATATTGAGTCTTCCATCCATGAATATGGTATATCTCTCTGTTTCTTTCTTTACTTAATTCCTCTCAGCTGTGTTTTATAGTTTAGGTCAAGTTCCCAGCCTGTTAGCCAAGGCTTTATCCTGGGCTGCTGAGGCTCTGGGCCCTGTGCTAATTAGAAGCTGGCAGACACTTCAAAAGGAAATCTGCAGTAGAATGTCAGGATCCCTTGACTACATCTCAGTTATCCAGCCCCCTGGGGTTTTGGCTGCCTTGGTATCTCTAAGGCCTTCACGTAGATATGTTGGAGGTGCATTGTACAGCTATTCTAGCTACTCTAGGTGGGAGGGTTGGTCTCCACAATATACTTCACCATTATCAGAAGCAGAAAGTTCTGGTCTTTATGTTTGAAGAATATTTTCACAACGTATAGAATACTAATATAGCTATTATTTTCCTTCAGCATTTTAATGAATTCATTCCACTGTCCTCTGGCTCTCATTGTTGCCATTTGAAAGTCAAATGTCGGTCTTATTGTTGCTCAATTAAAGGTAATGTGTTGTTTTTTACCTCTGACTTTTAAAGATACTTTTCTTTGTCTTTGGTATTCAGAAACTTTACTAAGATATATCTATGTGACATTTTCTTTGTATTTATTATTTTGGGGGGTTATGGCTCATTTTAAATCTGATATATTTTATCAAATTTGGAAAATTCTTATCCAGTGTCTGCTCAAATATTCTCTCTCCTCTCTTCTGAAACTCTAATTATACATATGTTGGACCTTTTTACCTTGTCTGTGTGTCTATTACACTCTTTTCTGTATTTTCCATCCTTTTTTCTCTTCATGATTTAGTCTGAATACATTCTTTTGTTTATCTTCCAGATTATTGGTCTTCTATTGTGTCTAATCTGCCATTGAACCCATATATTTATTCATTTTGATTATTGTGTTTTTAAATTATATTGTTTATATTTAGTTCCTAGTTCTATTGTGAAATTCTACATCTTGCCATTCATCTTCTTGAACATTTCATCACAGCTATTTTAAAGTCTGTGTCTGATAACTCCAATGTCTGGATAGCCAAGGGGGTAAGAAGGCAGCTGTGTTTATTTTGTGTTCTTATATGTGGTTTTGCCATATGATCCTTTTCCTAATATGCCTGCTAATGTTGATTAAATGCCAAATATCATATATAAAAAATATGGAAATAATTTGAGGATCTTAATGATGCTGTTCTTCTTCTAGAGAGGATTACTTTTGATTCTGGCAGGCAGTGAAGGTAAATGATGACCATAATTCATGATTGAGGTCGCTCAGACCTGAGCTTCAGTTTTTATGAGGGACAGTCTAGTTCTGATTCACCACTACTCTTAGCGAAGTCCTTCTGTGAATACAACTAGAAACCTGGGGTGTTTATCAGGAGCCCTCTGCTATGATGGCTCTGAACTTGAGTTTTTTTACCCCTAAGGCCAGAGTACTGCCAGAAGCTCTCCTTGGCTTCTCAATTTCTCAGCCAAAACTTTTAAGTCAGCAAATGCTCTAAGACGAGAAGAGACACCGAATGGTGGCTCTTTCTTCTATTTCCCTTCTCTACATGGTCTTGGCTCCTTCGGTCCCAGCTGTCTTGGCAGCTCTCTGAGGCCTTATACAGATTCTGGTGATATATTTTTCTACATTTCTGTGATGTTCTTGGTGGAAGTGTTGGTCTGCAACAGTCTGGTCTTCTGTTACCTTCTGTTGCCATTCTATGCAACGTTTCCTGCCCTCAGGACACTTGTGGCCCAACCAAGGTTACCATTTAGACTGGCAGCTGGCTCCTCCCTGGAAGTGCTCAGCCCAGGAACTCCTCCATCATAGTTACAGGAGTAGAGGTCCCCTCTACTGTGAAAACACACACGTGCTTCTGAGGTCCGATATGTCTTAGATCCACTCTCCTCCTCCACATCATTCTGCATGAGATCGCTTCTTTTGAAGTCCCTCTTTTCCCTTAAGAGGCCCCTCCTCAACCTCCCACTCACTGTCTCTTTCTCTGCTGGACTCATCTCTTTCCCACCATCCTTTAGGTCACATGCAAGAAACAGGCCCTGGAGGAGCAGCTGGCCCAGAGCCTGCAGGACCGGGAGGCCCAGAGGGATACTCTCCAGAGGGCCCTGCAAGAGAAGGAGGCTTTGTCTGAGGAGCGGACTCAGCTGCTGGCCCAGCAGGAGGCCCTGGAGAGGCAGGGCTGGCTCACGGCTGAGGAGGCAGCTGATCTGAGGTACCCAGGGACCCACATGGCCTCACCCTCAGAGAGCCCACAGTGTGGCAGGGGGCAAGCACTCACTTAGCGGCAGTAGGGCAGGGCGAGTATGTCTATATGGGAGAGAGGCTGTGAGTGAGGGCCACCCACAGTGCCTGTGAATGGAAGAGCATCTAGAGGAGGGGAATCCAGTAAGAGCCCTGGGATGGCCTTCCTGAGAGAGGTGGCTGCACTGGCCAGGTGACAAGTAGCAGAAACCCAGCTCAGACCAGCAGAAAGAAAACATGAAATGTCTTTCCCATGGATCTGAGAAGTTCAGGGTACACATGGCTTTAGGCAAGGCTGGATCCAGGCACTCCCACTGTGCCCTCAGGATCCTGCCTCTCCCCACTCAGCTCTGCTCTACTCTGAGAAGATTGAGGAGATTTCATTCTCAAGCAGGCTCAGGGAGGGAGGTGGCAAGATGGCCAGAAGCCACTCTAGGCTCCATCCTCCAGCAGACATAGAGTGCCCTTCTCTCCATAAGGCCCGAGAGCTGCTGCCATTGACCATCTTGAGCCACTTGATGTCCCTAAACCAATCCTGGGCGTCAGAGGGGTCACATGCCCATCCCTAGAGCCAGGGCAGCATCAGCCCCAGGGAACCGTGAGGCTGAGAGTGGAGAAGGACAAGCCCCAAAGACCATCGGAGGCACTTCCAGAAGACATAGAATGGGCGCTTATAGGCAAGAACAGGGGGTGCCCTGTAGGCTGTTGCCTGGTGAGCTGAGCTGGTCCTGTGGCCTCTGTGGAAATCCAAAAGCCAACGGCTTTCTGCACCTTGCAGGCCCTTCTCAAAAACATCTAAATATTTTTGTAGACAAGATTTCCTCCTGGAATTCCAGAATCAGGGGGTCATGAGAACCCTTTGAGTCCTGGATCCTTGAACATCTTCACAGACAAACTTCTCCAGATGAAAGCTTGTGCAGTAATTGGAACAGAAAACCTGATGAAGGCCACTTTGCGTTGGTAGGAGCAGAAGGGTCCCAGGACCCTGCCTGTTGCCCCCACCCAGGCCCCACAGGTGCTCGGAAGAGCAGGTGTTGGGGGCTCCTTTCCTCCCACCAGCGTTTACTGCCCTGATCACGGGCCCTGGTCAGAAGCTTCAGCAGCCAGGGATCCTCTGCCGGCCTCAGCCCTGACCACTGGGCCCTGGGCCTCTACATATGGCGGCCCTGCAGCCCCCAGACAGCCACACACCCACTAAACAGTATTTCACAATGACCAGTCTGAGCTTCTGGTGACAGGGCTGCTTGGGACTTGTCCTGAAGCCACATCTGCCTGGTGCATATGCTGTGTGTTTATCTGGCTGGCTTCATGGGGCCGAAGGGTCTGGCTGCCACGGTTTTAATGAGCTCCCAGGTAATGGTGACGACCACCAGGCGTGAGAAGGCTGCCGCAGTTCCTCGCTTCTCTGATGCAACCTCCCACCGTGGGCTTGATGACAGAGGACTCAGGTTTCAAGGTCCTCCAGCCCCCAGGCCCTGACAAGGCTGCTGTGCTGGGGACACTCTCTCAGTTCACAGGGTGCCAGCCCGCTTGTCAGCCAGCAAGATGCAGTGGGGTCCCCACCTGCACCCCATGCTCACCCTTGCTGGCCGTGCTGGGCCTCCACTCCAGGAGACTAGGATGCTCTTCAGCTCCTGTGGAGGGAGAGACTGGATTCACCCTCAGATTCCCAGGCTTCTGGGTGAAGATCCTGGTGTCCGAGGAGCAGAGGCTGCATCTCCCAGAGGGGACCCAGCAGGCGTCTGGGAGAAGGAGGGTTCCAAGTGTACCTGAGGGGATTTCCTCAAGCAGAGCTTGAGGAGAGCGTTCCAGGCAGAGGGAGTGCTCACACAGACGCAGGGAGTGGGAAACACGTGGGGTTCTTATAGGGACTGGAAGAGGGGACTGGGATATCAGAGAAATGGAGTTTCTGGGCTCTGCAGACATCAGGGCTCCTGGAGGGTGTCGACGTGCCCTACCCCCAACAAATGTGGCAATGGTGTGCAAGGACAGCGAGGGAGACTGCGGCAGGGCCCGGTCAGGGTGGGCAAGGTGGCCCATGGCTCTCCCTGACCCATCAACTTCTCTGGGGTTGTGCATTCGCCGTTGTGTTCGTGTGGGTGTTTGCATTTGAGTGTTTGTGGTGTGTCAGTGTGTTGTTTGGTTGGTTGCTTTTTTCACCACACATCACGCAGCAGAGGGTGGAGCACAGTAACAATTATTAAAACGTGCTCGTTTCTGATTGACGGTTGATGGATTGGTTGTCAGAAATTCAAGCTGCTTTACCACCCTCTCCAGAAATGGGCGCTGCTGTGAGTTCCCATGTATCCATCCAGGTGTTTTCTGAGCGTTTGCATCCGTGTGCACAGAGACACGGAGGCAGCTGTTGTATGCAATAGAACCATCTGTGTGTGCAGTTCTGTTTTGGCAGGTTGCTTTTCAGAGCAACTCTTTCCATGACAAGAGAATAGAGAAGAGAGTTTCCTCAATCTCGTTAACAACTGACAAGATGCACCATAATTTCTAGAACATTCTGCCATTTATCAGCATTGCAGCTGAGTCCAGTTAATGCCCTATAGAAAGCTTTAGTGGACATCCTCATGCATGCATTGCTGGCTCATGTGTATTCCTAAAGTGGAATTGCTGGCTCAAAGATATTCACACTCTTAAGTTTTGAAATTTCCCATCCGCCACCCCCCTCAAAGAAAACGGTCCTCACTCCTTTCCCAACACTGGATATTATCATTATTTTAAGCTTTTGCTAATCTGATGCATGATCAATAACAGCTCATGGTTGTGATTTAAATCTCCTTAAGTACTAGTGGGGTTGAGCAAGTTTCACATGTTTATTGGCCATTCATGTTTTCTTTGTGAATAGCAGTCGTTTTTCTCATTTTCCTGTAGGATCAGCTGACTTTCTGTCATTGATTGGTAGGAGCTCTTTGTATATGATGGATATTAACCCTTTGTATATTTAGTGCAGATTTTTTCTTCACGTCTGTCCCTTGTCTTTTAAGTTGGTTTGTGGAATCCTTTCTGCACAAAAGCTCCCCCTCACTGTCTTTAAATGTATTCAGATCTGTTGGCTCCTTTATTTTTATTTTCTGGCTTTTGTGTCTTGCTTCAGAAGATTATAAAATATCCTTCTGTATTTTTTCTACCACTTTTTATAATTCTGAGTTGTCTAGTGGTTGGTTGTTTGCTTCATTTTGTTTTCGTAGTTAGCTTTTTAATCCACCTGAAACATTTTTTTGTATATAGGGTCCAGTTTGTTTTTAGAGATTTAAAATGAATGAGATGTCCTCCGTTTATGTTCTGATTTGCCAGCCTGGCCTTGGCAGGCGCTGCTCCATCACCTGGCAAATGGGCTACGCGCTGTCCCTCATCTGCAGGATGGCCTGGGTGACTCGCCCATTGTGTGATGACTCTCTGCAGGGCCCAGAGGGATTCCCTGGAGAGCAGCCTCTTGGAGGCCGAGCAGCTGGCGATGCAGCTGCAGGCGCAGCAGGAGCAGGTAGAACGAGAGGCCCAGAGCGCACGGCTGGCTCGGCAGGCCCTGCAAGGTGCTCGTCTCTCCACACATCAGCCCCCGATGCACTGCTTCCACTCACTCCCCGGGCTCCCGAAGGGGCATGTGTGGAGCTCATGTGGCTGAATGGGTGATGCCGCCACTGTCCCTGAGGGATGGGCACTTGCCTGGCCTGCTTCCAGCTCTGGCCCGAGGCTCAGAACTGGGCTGTGGCCACAGGGTCTGTGTGGCAGCCCCCTGCCCCATCCCCTGTGTTCCCACACCTGTTCAGCCCACCTGCCATGCGTGGCCTGGGCCTGGCCGTAGCCAATGCAGGGTGCGGGTTTGGGACACACACAATCCAGTGGGCTCCAGAGTACTCTGTCCCTGCCAGCTCGGGCAGCCGCCTCAGAACAAGTGGCCGTCACTCCACATGGGGTTCCATGATGTGGGGGCCCTGTGTCCAGTCCCTGATGCACCTGTCACTTCACAGTGGAAATGGAGCAACTAAAAAGCACCTGGGAGGTCCTGGAGACAAAGCTGCAGTGGGACGTGGGGCAGCTCCAGCAGCAGGTGGCGCAGCAGGAGCGTGATGTGCAGCTGGCCCTGGAGAGCCAGGCACTGGCCCACCGCGAGGACCTAGCGCGGCTCCAGAGGGAGAAGGTCTGCTTCCCTGGGGCCACCCAGCTGCCCGGTGGCTTCCCAGGAGTCTACTATGTCCCAAAGAATAGCAGACACTTGGGGGAGGGGGCCTAGGAGATCAGCAGGGAGATGGAGGTGCCCAAACCACACTGAGTCTGGGGCCAGAGGAGGACTCTTCACAGTTCTAGTGGGCAGTCCAGGGCCATGAGACCTGGAGCAGGTGTGCAGGGTGGGTCCTTTCCTTCACTGAAGAGGCCGGACCTGGATGACAGCTGACCTGGCTGCAGTCTGGGGACCGTAGCTGGAGGGAGCTTTGTCGCCTGCCTGAGCCGTCCACTGGTCACAGGCTCCTGCAGGCCTTGTTTGATGTGTCTTTACGCATCTTGCATGTCAGTGGTGCTTGGTGTACTGTGGAGGCTCAGGAAAGGTTTATGAACTGTTACATAAATGGGGGATGGTGGATGCTGTGGCCCAGGGAGCCCCTTGGCAGCACGTGCTTCAGTGTCACTGTTTGTGAGACAAGGGGTGTGCAACGGGCTGGACTGGACAGTCCCTGGGGACCTGCCCTGTCATCCCATGAACTAGGTCTCACTCAGGACCACTGGCACCTGCTGGTCTCACGTGTCCTGAACAGTGCAGTCTTCACAGCCTGTCCCTTTGCCTCGGCCTAGGAGAGCCTGAGTCTGTCTCTGACAGAGGAGAAGGAGGTGGCAGCACGCCGGTTGGAACAGCAGAAGGAGCTGGTGGCAAAAAGTGCAGCCAAGAGGGAGGCTCTGAAGGAGGAAATTCAGAGCCTGAAGCATGAGCGGGATGAGAGCCTCCTCCAACTGGAGCATGAAACGCAACAGGTGATGGAGGGACTGTGAGACAGTGGAGAGTCCTCACATCCACCTCACTGTGCCTTCTCTGACCCAGCAAGAGGTCTGTGTGGGGGCAACCTTTCTAGGTCACTGCTATTGCAGCTTTGGTCTTCCGCAGCAGACCTGGTAGATAAACATCCACCCACCTACCCATCCATCCATCCACCAACCCAACCATCCATCTGCCCATCCATCCATCCATCCATCCATCCATCCATCCATCCATTCATCTATCTGTCCATCCACCCACCCATCCATCTACCTATCCATCCACCTATCCATCTGCCCATTTATCTATCTGCCTATCCATCCATCCATGCACTTGACTGTCCCTCATTCACTTGTCCATCATCCATCCATTCACTTGAATGTCCTTCCTTCTATCCACATATCCAGCTGTCCACCCACATACATTGCCATCTATCCACGTACCCAATTGTCCATTCACACACCTGACCATCAATTTGCTTAAACATCCATCCAACTATCCATGCACTCAAAAATCCATCCACGTGACTATCCATCCACTCATCTGACCATCCATCTATCCAACAACTCACTCAATCCACTCAATCATCCATCCATTCACTTAAATATCCTTCCAGCTGTCCACTACTTGGCTCTCCATCCATATCTACCATCCATCCTTGTGTCTGACTATCCATCCATCCACCTGATCAACCAGCCAGTCATTCATCAATGTATCCAACTATCAGCCACCCACCTGACCATCCTTCCATCCCATAGGCTGTTGGGATTCAGACACTGAGCATATAAAATCTATTCTCCAAGTCCAGGCCCTTCCAGTATACCATGTCACCCTGAAGTGCTCACTGTTGAGTGAATGGAACAGACAAGTAAACACATTCATGTGTGTTGTCAGTGCAATAGGACTCCCAAATTTTGGTACAGTAGTCCTCCCTTATCCATGGGGAATATGTTCCAGGACCCCCAGTGAGTAGTACTGAATCCTATATATACTGTGTTTTTTCCTATACATACATGATGAAGTTTAATTTATAAATTAGGCACAGTAAGAGCTTAGCAACAATAAACAATAATAAAGTAGGCTTTGGGGCCATTATTAAGTAAAATAAGGGTAACTTGAACACAAGCACTGTGATACCGCGACAGTCGATCTGGTAACCAAGACCGCTACTAAGTGACTAATGAGTGGGTAGCATATACAGCATAATTCGCTGGACAAAGGGATGATTCATGTCCCATGCACGATGGAACGGGATGTTTCGAGATTTCATCATGCTGCTCAGAGGGCATGCGATTTAAAACTTATGAATTGTTTATCTGGAATTTTCCATTTAATATTTTCGGACGTTGGTTGACCATAGGGGTAACTGAAACCATGGAAAGCAAAACCACAGATAAGAGGGGACTACTGTACAAATCACAAATTGCAGGGGAGGAATTACAGTAGCAGGCTTATTTTTTACAGTAATTATAGTAATTACAGTAACCAAGGCTTATTGTCAGACTCTCTGCATATCCCCGTTTTCCTGGAGAGAACACTAAGGCTCACAGGTGGGGAATACCTTGCCCAGGGTTGCACAGTACACCTGCTCTGAGCTGCTCCCCTCTCCTGCTTCCTCCACTATTCATGGAGAGGGAGGAAGCAAAGGCTTTGCAGCTATGGCAGCATTTGGGGGCGAGGCCTTGAAGAAGGAACAGGAGGTTGTCGGGCAGAGAGGGGAAGGGCATTCCTGGGACGTCTACGCATGGCACAAAGTTCTGTGCAGAACCTCTCAGGTTCCACAGTCCGCTAGAATGACTCACAGAACTCAAGAACATGCTACATTTATGAATACAGTTTTATTACAAAGGACACAAATCAGGTCAGCCCAGTGAAGAGACACACCGGATGCGGTCTCTCCCCGTGGCACCAGAATGTGTCGCCCTCCTGGCACACCAGTGTGTCCACTAACCGGGAAGCTCGAGGGTTCTGATTGGGGTTTCCTCACGTGGGCGTGATTGACTGAATCATTGGCCACTCTATGGAACTCAGTCTCCTGCCCCAGAGGCTGATCTCCCGTGACCCACAGCCCCAGTGCTCTGAACACGCTGTTGGTCTTTCCAGCGTGGCTGCCACAGTCACCTCGTTAGCATCAGCTCAGGTGTGATCCCAGGGGCCCATGAATAACAAAGACACTCCTCACATGGGAAATTACAGGGGTTTAGAGGTTCCACCCAGGACCCAGGACAAAGACCAGACAAATTCCTTATTACATAACGTCTTTCCCGGAGACTGCTGTGCGTAGACAAGCAAATAGAAATATATATTATTATCCCCCACCTTTATAACACAAAAAGTGTGAAAAGTCCACGCAATGTTCTAGGCCTTTCTTTTCTCAGAATCAGCATATCTTGGAGGTCTTTCCACATCTGTGTCTTTAGAGCTTGGTTATTCTTTTTCTCGGCTGCATAATGTCCTAATGCATGCAGATTATCATTGGTTTTGTTGGCCTCCCATCAGTGGACATCTGGGTTGTTTCCAGTTTTGTTGCTGTTATAAACAACGTCATAAACCATAATCGATGTCCCGAGTGGAGGTCATCCCACATGTGTGCACACAGGTCTCCGCCGCCTTCCCCAGTGGGCCTGGTCATACAGAGAACAGGCATTTGTGACTTTGATAGGCATTACCAGATTCCTTCCACCTTCCACAGCCTGGCCAACAGCAGCATTTGCTCCCCTCAGGGGGCTGGTGGGCAAAATGCAGCGTCTCAGGGCGTTCACGTGCACCCTCACCCTTAGTGACATGGAGCATTTTCAGAGGTTAAAGACCATTAGTGGCTCCTGCTCTGTGCTCTGGAGGAAGCATTGCCTGGAGGGATGGTGGGCTCCGGGGAGGAGGTGATATCTCTCTGCGCTGGGAGAGAGCAGGTGTTGGACCCGTGTGGGATGGGGAAGGGAAGTGCCCGGGGTGGGGGAACTGCCTGAGCCCGGGCTCCGAGGCTGGACCATGTCAGACCAGGGTGGAGGAGCCCCCTGCCCTCCTGGGGCTCTGGGTGCTGCCCCCTCTAAGAGTGTGGATGTGGAGCCGGGAATACGCCGCCTCCCGGCAGAGGCTCTAACACCCAGCATTCTACGGCAGCCTCTCCTAAAAGAGTCCCCCAACCCTCTCACAAGCACCCCCACCCCTGTCACACCCAGGCCCTGTCTCTGAAAGAAGCAGAGAGGAGCCTGCTGCGGGAGGAGCTCTCCAGGGCCACGCAGGAGCTGGAGCAGGTCCGGCAGGAGGCCCAGAACCGGCAGGAGCAAGCCGAGGTGAGCACCGTGTGCCCGTGGGCCGGGGACCAGACACCCGGCCTGGCCACCTGCACTGCCCAGCAGTCACTGGCAGACCCCCAGAGGCACCCCTTTCTGCCTAGTCCCAAGGACACATCCCCCTCCATCCCAGCACCCCTGAGCCTCAGCTTCCTCTGGGCACCTCCAGGTCTCCTGCTGGGAGGGGACACTGTCTTGATGGGAAAGGAAGGCCAGGTGAACCACAGCAGAGGGGGTGCTGTGGGAGCCAGTCCGTCCCCCGGCGGCAGGCCACGGGCCCAGGCACTCTACAGGCCCAGTTCTCACTCACCCTTGGGCCGAGCAGAGGCCAGAAAGGGGAGGGCCTGGGGCTGCACATGAGCCTGCAGCAGAAGGGCAGAACCCAGGCCTGTGCCCCCAGCCCCACCGACCCCCACCTTGCCTATCTGTGCCCTTGAGCTGCTCGTGATAAAGGATAACTGTGGAAACACGGGCGTGAGGCCTCCTGGGGCTGGATCACTGGAGAGGTCCTTTGCAAAGGAGAAACCAAACCGGGGAGGCCAGCACTGTACCCCTCACTGGGAAGGACACCCACAGAGAATCCCAAGCAGGATGGGGAGAGACCCCAGTAGGCAGCTGCCTGCCCTCGGCCAGCGGACCAAGGCCCACTTGTGCACAGAGTTCTGGGGGCAGCCAGCTGGGGTCACCTGGGGCCCCTGACTCCTCATCAGGAGCCCATGCACAGGGGCAGGACAGCAGCAGCAACCGGGACTCTGGGGAGTAGGGGCGTGACCCTGGGGGCCCTGTGGCCCCACCCCATGGGAGGGCTGGCCTGAAGGGTGCCAAGCCCCGTGTGGGTGACACAGAGACAAGTGCGCTGCTCACAGGAGGAGGTGATCAGAGCAAGGTGGTAGGACACGGATGGAGAGTTCAGAGAGCTGGAGGAGGGGTCAGGACCACTGCCCTGTGGGGCTGGCCTTGAGAGGAGACAGGCTGGGTGTGTGCACTGGGCGGGGAGGGAACAGCCTGGAGGCACAGTGGTGGGGGAGCACGGCTCCCCACCTGCAGGGAGCGTGGTCAAGGGTGGGCAGAACCCTGCACCTCCTCTCCCAAGGCTCCAACCTATGCTCCACCCCCTCCAGCCACAGCCACTCAGCTTAGCTGGGCTAGCACGAGGTCTCCTCTGCCTCCTGCCTTTATCCTTCAGGCCATCATCACCTTCTGTGACAGTGCTGCGCCTTCCTTCTAATCCTGGAGGCCCTTTTCCACCCTGGTCCCTGGTGTGTCCCCAGTCCCCAGGGCACAGGGTTAGATGCTCTGCTGGTGTTGAATGAATGACTCAGTGAATGAGTGCATGGACGGGACTCAGGCTGCAGTGTCAGGCCCAGAACTTCCCTCCATGAACTGTCGTGAGCGGGAACAGTTCTTGCTGACTACAGAGGGCTGAGCAGGGCAGCAGGGGGGAGCGAGAAGGCCTCCTGGCTGGGGGCTGGGGTGTCAAGACAGCAGGGCCTTGGGGAGGCCGCTTGGTTTAATCTGACCTGCCGGACAGCTGGGGGAGGGGGCTTGAGGCCCATCCCCGGGGCCCTGTGCTGTGGAAAAGAGTGTTGCAATTAGGAGCTGGCTGCCAGAGTGTTTCTTCACCCCCTCCTGCCTGACGTGGCGACCCGGATCCCCGGTCACTCTGAGCGGAGCAAGAGGCGCTCCTGGCACCCGGGGAAGTCTTGCCCAAGAGCCGCTCCCCATTAAGCCCCCGCCCCCAAGGCAGATGGCTGTTCCATGGGCACAGCCGGAAGGGGCGTGGGGGCACCATGGGGTGTGCCCTCCTTCTTCCCATCCCCGCCTAGCTGCTCCCTTGGCCCCACCCCGTCAGGAGAGGACCAGGAAAGACCTCACCCCCAACCCACCCCAGACCCTGGGAGCTGACATCCCTGCTCTCAGAGGGCCCTCCTCGGGGGCCTTCCCTCACCCTGGCTCTGAGCCTCCCCCTGGACTGGGGATGGCTTGCCAGCCAGCGGGGATCTTCGGGGAGCTTATTAAAGGTTCTTTTGCCACCTCGGCTTGGAAAATGGAAATTAAAACCCACTGAGAGGGGAGGGAGGGGAGAAATGCCAGCCAAGGAACACCAGTTGTAGGATGACATAACAGGCCCCCCTGGAGGGTAGAAAGGGCCCTCGGGCTGAGTCACTGCTGCCTCCAGGACTCCGGGCCTGTGCCCTGTCGCCCACCATCCTTGCAGGGGCTTGTCGATGGCCAGCTGCACTGGGCACCCATCATAGCAGCGCTGGGGCTGTCCTGAGGGCACAGCCATGACCTGGCCGTCCAAGGTGACGCCTGCCAGTGGAGAGGGACAGCAGGGGCTGGGGACAAGGAGATATCAGGAGGCTCCTTCACCAAGAGCAGGATGCACAGCCTGATGGAGCCCCAGCCCACCAGGGCCCTTGGGCAGTGGCTTGCAGAGTCCAGGTGGGTGGGAGTAGGGGGTCTCCCAGAGACCCGGCGCCGGGCCAGCACATGGGCATCCCTGCCTCCTTGAGCACAAAGCCAGCTCCGTCCTCTGCCCACTGAGGAAACCGCCACCCAGGGCCCTAGACCACCTGGGGCCAGGGGGGGCGGGGGGCGGTCCTGGCAAAGAGGCTGGGCTGGGTCTGCACAGCCTTGGGCTCAGGGTAAGCAGGCGGCATCCTTGTTCATGGACAATGAGGCGCTTTGAGAACTGCTCTGGCCGAGCCTGGCGCCCAGAGGACCCCTGCCTCCTCCAAGTGCCCATACATTAGCGATGAAGAGTGTCTCGGGCTCTGTGGCCATAGGAAAGCAGATTTGGGCCAGCCAAGTCCTGAATGGATGTCTGAGCTGCCTGAGTGTGGCCACGTGGTCCCTGCAAGGACAGCCCTGCCAGAGGGGTGTGGGCAGAGCCTGTGGCCCCCTCCTGGTCATGTCCTCATGTGGGTACTCACACATTTAGAACCGGCGGGGACCATGGGCGTCCCCTAGTCCCACCTGCCTGTTTGAAAGTTCAGGAAACCGAGGGCCAGGCTGACCGAGAGGTTCCTGTAGTCTTCTGGACTCGGGGGACAGGGCTGCTCCTGGGGCCCAGCTCTCCCCTTCCCTGGCCACTGCCATGTCTCCTGAGCTGGGGTCAGCGTTTTCTCTCCCTACATTAATGGCCAGACCCCCAGAGAAGGGGACCAGAGACACCTCCTCTGGGGAGGGAGAGACCCCTGCACTGACCACAGCAGATGCCCCAGGCCACGGGGCCACAGGACCTGGGGTGCTCCTTCCATGCCCAGCAAGCCCCTGAGGGCAGAGGCTCAGCCCCAAACTCATAGGCAAGAATGCCAACCCCACTGCCCGGCTGAAGGAGTCCCAAATCCAGCATCTTTCACGGACAGAACCTCTTCTCATTTGCCAGATGGCTGCTCTCAACCCCTCACTACCCAACAGCAGTGTTTTAGGCAGGAAAGGTCAGTGCTTAGGTCCCTTGCCTGGGCCCCTTCTGCTCAGCCCGCCCTGGCCTGGCAGCCTGGGAATCAGAGAAGAGGCACAGGGGCACAGGGTCAGCCCCTGCCCATGGGGAGCTCCCCTCTGGGGCCTCTGCCCCCACCTTTCACCACCATGTGCCCCCAGGACCTGGCATCGGTGGTGTTGGCCGTGGTCAACACAAGAACCCTGGCCTGGAGCCCCCAGGCCTGGCTCTGGCCCCCACCCGCCTTGTGCAGCCTGAGCAAGCAGCTGGTCTGGCCCCAGGACAGTGAGTGGTTGCCAGTGTGGGCCTGAGCAGACTACCAGCTGACCATGCCTTGGGTGGCCACTTGGTGCTGCAGCCAGCTTACTGCTCCCCCCAGGCCACCATCAGTGCCACGAATGCAGAGCTGAAGGCGCTGCAGGCCCAGTTTGAGGACGCCATCTCAGCCCATCAGACAGAGGCCACGGCCTTGAGCGAGAGTCTCCGGGAGATGGCGGCAGAGCGAAGCAACGCAGGGAGAGAGGTGAGGCATGGTGCCAGGGGGTGGTGCTGGGAGAGGGGAGGGAAGGCCTTCCTGAGAGCCAGGTGTGACCTGGGGGGTGGGGGAAACTGGACCCTCAGCCCGTGACCTGGGGGAAGCTGGACCCTCAGCCCAGAGACCCATCCATCCTACAAGCCATGGGAAGACCCAAGGCGAGGCGGTGCTCTGTCCGCACAAGCATGAGGCATGGACTCCACTGCACCAGGCATTGGAGTGGGGTGAGGCCACCCTGGGGGTGCCTGGGGTAGAGAGGCAGGAGGAAAAGTGCAGGGGTTGAGTGGGGTTTTCAGGGGCAGCCATGCATGGGCCTGGCCAAGGCCCTGAGGTTGACACAGGGGCCCCCAGGAGCCACATGATGGTGTCCTGGGGTGGGGGACAGTCTGGGGCAGGGAGAGCAGGAAAGGCCCCAGCTAGGCCGGGCTAGGGCTCAGCAGGCAGGCAGACTGGGGAGGTGTTTCTGAGGTCGATTTGACAGGACTTGGGATGCCTGAGAGAGGGGAGGGCAGGAGGGCATGGGGATTTGGGTTGGGGGGAGGGGAAGCTGGCGCCCAGGTGGGGCCCGCGGGGACGGGGTGGCCTCGTGCATTCCCTGGGCCGTGTGCCAAGGCTGGCAGGCGGATGCTGACCCAGCGCTCACGCACCGGGCCTCCTAGGCAGCGGCCGAGTGAGAGGGGGGCTCTGCCCTCCCCCAGCACCCCCGAGGGCAGGCCGAGAGCAGGCCCCAGAGAGGAAGGGAGCGTGATTTAACATGACAGGCTGTTTACTTTGGCCCCCAAAGAGAAAGGTCTCCTTTCAACAGATTTCAAAGTCGGGCCTGGTCAGCGACCACACGGGGAAGCAAAATGAGATTTTAAAACTGGGGGATGTGGCGGGAGGAGCCGGGGAGACTGGGGACACATTTGTTCTGGTGGGGTGAAGGAAAAAGGCACTGGCTTCATGAGAAGTTCAGGTCTCAGAGAGGGGCCCCAGAAAGATGAAGGGGCCCCCACAAAGGAGAGGAGCCCTCATAAAGGGAGTGGGGGGATGGGAAGGCTGAAGGGGGCAGGAGGAACAATCACAGAGAGAAGCAGCACAGAAGAACCCTCCCAGGCGCCAGGCTGGCCCAGGGTCGCCATGGATACCATAACATATTCACAGCCTTTAAACTGGAGCAACGTCCAGGCTTCTCGCAGCCCTGCCTGAGGTCCACACATGTGTGCGTGCACGGCTCACGTACATGCACACACTCACATGCACACATACACCCCTGGGCACATGGAGACCACACACATCCGTACACACACACGCACCCAAAGTGAGTGCACACGTGCATGCACACACATGCATGCCCCAGGCACTCACGTGTGGACACAACACTCACACATGTAAACACACATGGACATCACAGTGCACGCATATGTGCAACAAGCAGCACATGCAACTCCACACATACATGCATGCACATGCATCACACATGCATGTGAACAGACACGTGGGCGCTCATTCTGTACATGCACATGTACAAGTGCACACACCACACACTCACACATGCGTGCATACACATGTGTACACTCACACTTGCATGCACACGCATGAACACACACACCCAGACCAGGGCCCCACTGGGGCCCCCACTCGCCTCCCCTCCCACTGCCTCCTCCATTCAGATCCCTCAAACCGCCTCCCTGCAGGAGATTTCAAAAGAGGCTGTTTATACAATTTCTAGTAAAGAAATAATTATTATAATCTCATTAAGCGATTTGGCTGTAAAATTCCTGTAAAAGGGATGGTTGTTCTCATGTGGCGGAGGGAGGTGGGGGGGGGACCCTCCCCCGCGTTTGTTTTGCTTGTTTTCATCCCCCGCCCTGGGAAATGCAAACAGTTCTTCTATGATGGATAGGCCCTTTCGCTGGTCCTTGACCTCCTGGGAGGATTTCTGCTGAGCTTGGCGGAAAATGCTCAGCACGGCACGGTTGTGGCTCCCACATGTGGGGGTGGGAGGGGAGCAGAGGGGGCTCGAGCCCTTCCCAAAAACAGAACAACAATAACAGCGGGCGGACGCGGCAGCCGGGCCAGCCAGGGGCCTGGACAAGGTCCCAATGAAACAGCCAGCAAAGTAGGGTTTGCTTTTGGCAAACCAGCACCTCGACATCACTCCGAGTGTTGTGGCTTCCCCTCTCTGGGCATGGCCCTGCTGGCTTCCTCCACCTCCTCAGGGACACACGAGCTGAAACGGAGCCTTCTCCAGAGTGCCCTGGTCAGGGCCAGAGCACCGGCCTGGGAGGCAGGAGGCCAGGGGTCCCAGCAGAGCCCCCGCGAGCCTCCCTGGGGTGCTGAGGGGTGGGCTGTCCCTTCCCCAGGTCTGCACTCTTCTCCAGACCCTCCCACCTGGGGCTGAGCCCCAAGGCCTTGAGGTACCTTTTCTCCCAGTGCAAGAAGGACCCCTGACCCCCACCCACACTTCACCCAGGCTCAGCTCTCACGCCTCGAAAAACCACAGAGCCGGCAGGCCCCAGCTGGAAGCCCCCGGGCGTTAGGAGGGGGAGGACACAGGTCCTGGTTCCAGCATGGTGGGTGTCCCCCTCTGGGCTGGAGCAGGTCTGGCAGGGAGGAGGACTCACACCTGGGTCCGCTCACAGAGGTCCACAGTGGCCAGGGCTAGGGTGGACGTGGAGCACGTGGCTCCTACTGGCTCCAGAGCCTTCCCACCTTAGCCTCCGCTGCCCCCAGCCCTCAGGTTTGGGAGGCCCACGCTTCTGCGGAGCGCGCCTGGCAGAGTGCTCCTGTGACAGAGAACTTCCTGCCCGAGCAGCTGGGCAGCCTGGCCCAAGTGCTGCTGGTGGATTCCCAGGGCACAGATGCCCAGAGACCCTCCCTCCCCACTGCCTCCCCTACCGATAGGGAGAGGGGGCCTGCAGGAGCAGATGTGCCCTCGACTGTGCAGGGATCAGGAGCCTGGGCCACTGGTGCTACTGCCCACACCAGGGCAGGCAGTCACCCGGATGCCATGCCATTATTGAAGGAAAGGAGTGGGCACCAGGAGACAGCGGGTGGGGAGCGCCATCAGGCAGTGGCAGCTGGACCTGAGTGGGGACAGTGCAGACATGTGGGCAGAGCTGTGTCCCACACAGGCCCTGCTGACTGGTGGCGAGCATCCCCGGGGTCCAGGGATGGAGTGTAGGGCAGGACCTCGGCCAGGAGGAGTCAGGGTGTCCCCTGCCTAGGCTCTGGGAGAGGCCTTGCAGCCTCAATGGCAGTAGGGGAAGTGACCACGGGTGGGCAAAGCCAGGTTGTCTGCTTCTCCTTCAAGCACTTGGGGACCCAGGGCTGGGGGGCACTGGTACTGCCAGACCAGAGCCAGAGGCCATGTGCTGCCTGTGGCTCTCCCTGGAGCAGCAGCCTCTACCCGTAGCTGCTGACCCCCAACCCACAGCCCCTGACCACCCCCAGCCCGTGGCCCCAGCTGGCCCCTAGAGCTGCACGCTCCTTCCACAGGCCGAGAGGCTGCGGGCACAGCTGGAGGAGGCCCAGGAGGGGCTGGCCGCGCTGCGCCGGGAGCTGCAGGGCAGTGAGAAGAGCCAAGAGGGGCTGCGCAGGGAGGCCCTGGAGGCCCGTCGGGAGCTGGGCGACGAAACCCGCGAGAAAAACATGCTGCAGCATTCCAACACCAAGCTGCGGGCCGCCATCCTCAGGGCCGAACAGGAGAAGGCCAGGTATGGCAGCTGCTCTGTAGAGCATCTGTGGGGGAGCCCTCCTCGCCCCACAGCTCACCCCAGGCCATGGTGAGGACCAGGGGACAAAGCCGGTGGGACGTGGAGTGTCCTATTGAGATAGGCCAGATAATGGTGGGGTGGACACACCAGGCAGACCCAAGTGCCACCTGCCCATCCAGAGGGTCGACAGTGCTGGCCCACACAGGGGAAGGCTGGGACACCAACAGACCTGTCCCTGCCCTTGGGAAGTTCCCATCCAGCAGACAAAACAGGCCCCCAGTGGTCAGCAGGAGACAGCCAAGGTCTGGGGAGCAGAGGGAGGCCCAGGAGCCCGGTCGGGGGCTCTGAGAGGACCCCCTGTGGGAGTGACAGCCAGGCCAGGACTGCAGCCCTCGCAGGGGGCAGCAGAGGTGCCAGGCGGGTGCTGGGCATTGGGGCTCTGGGAGTGGCTGGAGGGAGGGAGGGTTGGGAAAGGGGCTGGAGACATATAGAGGGGCCATGTCAGCTGGGCCCTCAGACCCAAGGTGATGGGCAGCCCCAAGGAGGCCGGGCTTTGGGACTCTGTGGAGTCAAGATGTGGGGGGAGCCTCCTAGGGTGAGGTGGGCAGCCGGACAGTCATCGCTGGAGATGCTGGAGCCCCAGGTGGCTCCCCTGGCCCCAGCCTGTGACACTCTGCTCAGTTTTAAGCGTTCCAAGGAGGAGAAGGAGCAGAAGGTGCTGGTCCTGGAGGAGGCCCGAGCTGTGGCTCAGAAAGAGGCCAGCGAGCTGCGGGCCAGCCTGCAGGAGGTGGAGCAGGCACGGGAGGCTGCCCGCCGGGAGCTCCAGGAGCTCCACAGAAAGGTGAGGGAGCCATCCTGGAGCCCCGTGCCGGGCAGAGATGACCTCCACCTTGGCCCCAGTTCGTCCAGGCCCCCCCAGGTCACCCACAGGGCTGTAGAGCAAGAGCTCCAGACGTGGCCTCCCTGCCTGTGCCTTTGGAACATTCTGTCCCCAGACTTGGAGCCACCAGTTGAAGGGCCTGCTTGGACTCATGGGGTTCCTGGTTGGGTCTGCCCCATGGGGCACAGATGACAAGCCTCAAAGTTAATGGCTTAAAACAACCATTTTGACACTCATGAACCCTGAGATCAGGAATTCAGCCAGGCCCAGAGGGAACAGCCCGGCTCTGCCCCACTGCACTCACCTACCAGCCCTGAGAAGAATCCACCCGGGGCCTCGACGGTGGGGCTGCGCTCTCCTGGAGGCATCTTCCCTCGTGTCCCGTGACTGCTGCTGGCTGTCAGCTGGGGCACCTCCCGTGTCCCTGAGTGGCCCAGGCTTCCTCCCAGCGTAGCCACCTCAGGGCTTGGGGTGAACAAAAGGGTGCTGCTTCCTCTATCTGCCTCGGCTTCCCATGTCAGGGGCCACTGACGCGGAATTCCCTGTCTCAGGCCTACCCAGGGGAGGCGCCCAGACCTCCCCTCACAGAGTGAGGCTTTGAAGCATTGGACCATTTTTGTCAGACTCCTGCAGACAGCTAGGTCAGGAAACCATCTCTGGCAGGAACAGCTGCCATTTATCCCACCCTTCTGTACCCGGCATTCTGCACACATCACCTGCCCTCATTTGATCCTCACAGCCATCCCTGAGGAAAGTTCTAGTCCCTTCCTTTCCAGACGAGGACACTGAGGTACAGAGAGGCTAAGTAGTCGGACAGACCAGGGTCCCTGCAAGTGACAGCCAGAAATTGAGCCCAGAGCCCGCACCCCGAGCACTGCCCACACTCCCTAATCAGCACCCCCGCAGCCCTGCTCCCTGCCCAGCGGTGCTCCATCAGGGTGTCTGCTCCAAGCGCCACAGAGCGTCCTGGCCCCAAAGAGGAGGTGCCAAGTGTGTCTGTGGAGGGGCTCAGGGAGCCAGCTCCAAGGATGTGGTCTTGTGGGGGCACAACACAGCCCCCCAGGACATGTCAGGGGTCAGGAAGGGCCCACTGGCCACCCCGGCCCCTCCCAGCACAGAGGCCCAGGCAACTCCATCAGTGCAGGCCCCACCCTCCCAGGTGAAGACACTGGAGGCCGAGAATCAGAGGAGGAGCCAAGAGGTGAACTGGCTGCAGGCCCGGGTCACACAGGATGCTCAGCGTCGGCAGCAGAGCCGGCAGGAGGCGTTGGAGCTGCAGAGGCAGGTGGCCGAGGTGGAGGCCACCGGGAAGGAGGTAGGAAGCTGAAGGAACCCTGGAAGGGGCAGCAGAGACAGCCGGCGCTGTGAGAACTTGGGATTGATGGGGACAGCAGAGGTCCAGGCTGCCCCAGGCCGCCCTCTCACCCACATGCTCTGTGAGTCTGTCTGCTCTCCCAGGGTCAAGGGAGAAGGACTCTGACTGAACTAACCCAGTTGAAGGGAAAACCCTTCCCTGCACCTCCCAGGGGTCTTGTGTTTTAGAAAAGGACAGAGTCTCGCCCAGGTGAAGTGAGAGTTCTGAGCCTGGGGAAAAGCGGGGGGCCCTGAAATGACCAATTGTCCAAGAGCCTCAGGACTCTGAGTTCACACCTACACCCAGGCCTACACTTGGGTGTCCCCACGGCCCTGACATATGCACACACACGTGCACACACACATGCACACACACGCACAGTCTCCATGAGCTCTCTCCCAATGCCTGCACACGCGTGTCCCCATGCCCCTCCCCCCACACCGGCCTTCACCGCCCCCATGCCAGCTTGAAAGACCCTCTGTTCTGTCCCTGGCCCTGCCCCTCCAGTTGTTTGCCGCAGGCCTGCGCTGCACGTGGCGAGGTGGCCTTGGACCCCCACACACACACAGCCTGAGGAGGCCTCCCTGGGCCTCGGCCTGCGTGGGGCCCTCTGGTTCAATCCCAAAGTCATGCACAGAGTGGCTGCATCAGGCACTAGCCATGCCCCGAAAACATGGGCTCACCTCACATGACCATGTGACCCTGTGTGATCTCACAGCCCCTCCCCTCTACCTGTGAATGGGTTGATTATACTGTGGCCACCCAGGGAGGGAGATGAGAGGAGACCTGTCATAGCAGCCCAGGGATAAGGGTCTGACAGGGGCTCCATGGCCTCGAGCTGGGGGCCTGGCTGCCTCCTCCCCAGCCTGTGCACTTCCCAAGGGGTGGCGGTCTCCCCGTGTATACTCCTGTCCACTCACAAGTATTTACAGGGCTCCTCGTGTGAGTGGAGGGACCGTCCAGGGGCTGGGAGCACGTCGGGCCGTGACCAGGGTGCAGCAGCAGACAGGGTAACCTAACTGGGAATGATGGGATGGGCTGCTGCCAAGGGCCAGCTGGGATAGGGAGGCCCCTCTGTGCCGAGGCTGAGCCCCTGAGAGAAGGGAGGGGGAACGTGGCACAGCAGAGGGTCCATGAAGAGGGGGCTGCCAGGGGGCTGGAGTGAAGCCACAAAGGAGAAGGGTGGCCCGAGCCAAGGGAGGTGGGAAAACAGCCCCCCAGAGTCTTGCCAGCCCCTCTTGGCCCTCGTGTGCTGTGTGCTGGGCTGTCACCCACTTGGAAGCCTGTGGGGGGAGTCGGGCACCCTGTGGTTCCCCAGCCCTGGACTCAGGATGGCACTGACCCAGCCTTGCTACCACAGGCCCTGATATGGCAGGCAAGCATGAAGCTGGCCAGAGTAGGGGGCCTGGCAGGCCGCAGGAGGAGGCAGCCTGGGCCATGGCCCTGCCTGGCCGGGGTCTTCATATGGCTGCCAGTGGGGCTTTCTGCTGCCTGCCAGGATGTGCCCCTGGTCCTGGGGTGTCCTTCCCTACCTGGGCACAGGTGTCCCCACTGCCAAACATGGTCTGGGAGGCAGGTCCAAGGTCCCCCCAGCTGTGACATGCCAAGGAGAGGGTGAGGCCAAGAGGCCTGGAGGGTCTTCAGAGGTGGGTAGACCTGGGGCGAGACCTCTGTCTGAGCCCCTCAGGTCCCTCCTACAGGTCCTGAGGCTGCAGCGAAAGTTGACGGAGGTGGAGGCAGGAGGTGAGGCCCGGGAAAGGCAGCTGGAGGAACGCCTGCGCGAGAGCCAGGGAACCGAGCAGACCCTCCGGGCTGAGCTGCGCAGCGTCTCCGGGAAGCTGCAGCAGGCCAGCAGCATGGCTGACGGCCTCCAGGCTCGCCTGGACGGGGCCTGCCACCGGATCCACAGCCTGGAGCAGGAGCTGGCCCAGGCTGAGGGCGCCAGGCGGGATGTGGAGGGCCAGCTGGGCCGGCTGTGGGCCACACTCCACCACGGCCTGGGGTTCTGGGGACAGAGCCCCTCCGCCTCCCCCAAGCGGCCCGGCGCCCCCACCAAAGGTCAGTGTCCCCAGTGGCTTCAGATGGGGTCCTGTCCCAGCTCTGCCCCTCCCCTGAGGCACTCCCACCCATCCCTGGGCCTCACAGTGAGGGGCCTGGACCCTGAGCTCCCCACGAGCTCCCTGTGGTAGGGACAGCACAGAGAAAGGGAGAGAGGGCGCCTGCATGTCTGTCACCAAGTCCCCACCACGTCCCCTCAGCCGTCACTGTCCTGCAGGCTCGCACAGCTCCCAGAGTCACTCCGGGCAGCAGAGTGCCAGTCCCCCCGCCAGGTCCCACTCACCCCTCCGATGGCCCTCACCAGCACCCGGAGACCACGGCCCAGAGGTGGACGTGGCCTCTGTGAGGGACGCCCTGAGAGACTTCGCGCAGAAGCTGCAGGATGCCCAGCGGGAGCAGGTAAGGGGGGATGGGGAGGACATGCCCTGGGGGCTCTGGGAGACAGAGAGACGCCACTCAGTCTGCTGTCCACCTGCCCGTCCGTCCCTGGTCTGCTGAGATCCTGGCGCGGCCCTATGGGTCAGTGGGTGCGTCAGTGTCCAGACCGTCCTTTGTTTGTCATGATAAATACCGATAAATACCATCATCCCTCGAAACCCAACTGCCCCAAATGGGCCGAGGCCACCTCCCTTCCTCAGACTGGGCAGCAGAGCCCCTGGAGCCAGGCCCACTGGGACCCAGGTCGGGGTGTACTCCATCCCCATGCCTGTCGCCTGAAGAACCATCCCAGTGGCTGGCCAGGTCACCTGCTGGTCCCAATAACCCCTCCCATGGGAGACCAAGCTCCCCAGCAGCTGCTCCCGTGTGCCCCCCAGCCTGCCACCCCAGGGCTCCCCAGAGCTGCCCATGAGCTGTCCCTGCCTGACTGGCCAGGTGGGAGGGGTTGTGGGGAGAGACAGACAGACAGTCACCCAGCCCTGGCCCCCGGGTCCTCCATGGACACCTGTCCACCTTCCGGCCCACCCTCCCACCAATGCCAGCCCCAGGGAGCAGGGCCACAGCCCCACTCAGTCCCTGGTCCTGGCTGGGAGCAGTCCCTGCAGGTGACCCTGACCCCACAGGCTATGGGCCATCATCTGCCACTGTGCACCCCACTGCCCACCCTATGTCCACACTCTAATCCTGCCCACTTGGGCCAGCCCACACCCCAGCCCCTCCATGCCCTCCCCAGCGCCTCTCACTCAGCTCAGCTGTCCCACATGGCCTGGCCTTCCCTGCAGCCCACAGCCCGCCCCACCCCACTGCCCCGTCCTGCATATCCATGAGCTGCCCCCCACCCTCTAGCCGGACACCTCTGCCCTCCACTCACCCCCTGGGCTGCTCTCTGACCTTGGTTCCTCCACCCAGGACCACTGGCGCTTCCAGGCGGCAAGGCTGAGCAGCCAGCTGAACAAGGCAGAGAGCGAGCGCGCCCGAGCCCAGAGCCGTGTGGGGCAGCTGCAGAAGGCGCTGGCCGAAGCGGAGGAAGGTACCCTCCCTTCGCCCCCTGCCTCTGGGGACTAGCTGTGAGGGGTTCCCCAGAGCGCCCCGCTCCTGGCCACGATGAGTGTGCAGTCCTGGAAACTGCTCACGCCAGGACCACAGGGACAACACCCAACAGCACCCTCCCCGAGGCACACCCCATGCTTGGCAGTGGTGGGTGCTCTCTCAGCAGCTGCCTCCCCATCACGAGGAATAAAAGCCAGAGACCTTGCAAGGCCCCACACCATCCAGCCCCCACCCCTTCCCACAACTCGGGCCTCCTGCTATTCCCACCTCAGGGCCTTTGCACTGGCTATGCCTGCCACCCAGAACTCTGTTCCCCTGACAGTCATGCAGCCCTTCCCCACACCAGGGCTCTGCCCCGTGTCACCTCCTCAAATAGGCTTCTTGCCCTGCTGTTCACCCCACCTCATTTCTGTCCCCCTTCCCCATTAGCAGGTCAGCCCAGTAGGCAAGCCCAGGGCCTGTCGCAGAGTCTCTAGGGAGGAATGTCTGTGGAAGGAAAGGAGGCAGAGGAGAAAGATGGGGAGGGGGAGGGGCCTGGAGTCGAGGCAGAGGGAGCTGGGACCCCAGACTCGCCCCAGGGACCTCGAGCTTCCAGGAGGGAGGAGCAGGGAATTGTCAGGTGGGCGCCAGTCACTTAAACTCACCGAGCCTCAGTTTCCCAGCCTATGAAATGGGAGGGGACGGCCCACAGACCTTGGCAGCCAGGCGAGCTGCCCCATGTGCCCCACAGGCTGGCGCCAGGCGGAGGGCGAGATGGGCCGTGCCCGGGCAGCGTGGGCCCTGCAGGAGGAGGCGCTCCAGAGGCTGCAGACGGAGCAGCTGGCAAGCATGCGGGAAGCAGGCCAGGAGAAGCGGCGCCTCCAGGTGGGGCATGTGGCGCGTGGGCACCGGGGACACTTGGCTCCCCCCCACACCCTAGGGTGGAGAAGGAGGAGGGAGGAGGCTGAGAGGGCTTCGGGGCGAGGGGAGGTTTCTGGTCCCTGTGGGCAGAGGCACAGGCTAGGCTGGAGCGGGCGTCCTCGAAGGACATTGGGTCCCACAGAGCTCATCAGGGTCTTCCCTGGCAGAACTATCTCTGAGGTGGTCCTAGCCCTTATTTTACAGATTGGGGAAACTGAGTCCTGGACAGGGAGTAACTTGGCCTGGGTGGCAGGCAGAGCCAGCGAGGGGCAGAGCCAGGGGCAGACCTCTAGCCTCCCAGGTCCATCCGTCTTTCTGTGGCAACACTGGCAGGCGTAGGGTGACACTGGCCTAACCTTGGGGCTCTCTGTGGGGTCACATTTATGCTGTCGTGGGACCATTTTTTTCTGTCACTTAGACATGGAAGGAGGCTGCACAGTATGAACTCGGGTAACTGTCCCCACACGTGGGCTTTGTGTTGTGAAAATGGCCTTGGGGGCCACAATTTTCAGGGAAGAAATCTGAGCCCAGAGCGAGGGCCAGGCCCGGGTGGACGGGGGCTGGCTCACGGCGAGCCCTGCGCCCCACCCCAGGCCCACAGGTCAAAGCTGAAGCTCCTTGAGGACCTTGGAGGTGTCAGGAGCAGGGTGCCCGGCAGGAGGAACACTGGGCCCCAGAGGAGGCCACCCTGGGTGTCAGGGAATCAGGGCCCTAGGTCCCCTGCTGGAAAGATGAGGCTGATGGAGGCAGCAGAGCAGGGGGCACTGAAAAGGACATGGGGGCGTGTAGGGGCTCTCAGTTCCACAAGTGCCACAAGCAGCAGGTCACCCCTCTCCAGGTGTCTTGTGAGGAGGAAACGCCAGATGAGTGACCAGAAGGGATGGCCTTGCAGGTCCGTGGGAGCAGTGAGCTGAGCGAGGCTCACAGGACCCCAAAGGCAGCCAGCCAGGCAGGCCTCGACCTCAGAGGGTGGATGCAGACCCCAAGCCTGGGCTGCGCTCGCTCCATGCAGGGCTCAGTCTGCAGCCTGGGGACCCTCAAAGGCCAGGCATTGAGGGTCCCTGGTCCCCATGAAGGAGGGCCCTTCTGCAGAGGAGGGGACAGAGAGCAGTGGTGGGGCTGCAGAGAAAGAGCCGAGGAGCTCAGCCTGGGGAAGATTTGTGAGATGAAAGGGGATTTCTGCTTCAAAGACCCCTATGGCTGCGGCTGGTGGGGGAAGAGACTTGGAGGGGTCAGTCGCAGGGCCTGGGGACCTGGCTGGGGAAGGTGGCAGCACTGGTGAGATGCCAGGAGATGTGGGGCTCTGAGACACCACGGAGGCGGGCAGGGCTGCATCCCCTTTCACACGTGTGTTCACACGTGTGTGTTCCATGCACATTTGCAAATAATGTTTTCTGTTTACAGGTTACGCATTTTGAAAAATACCCATTAAATCCACCTTTACAAATATGTCATTCAATATTGCACACTGGATCTGTCTCCTGAATTTGTCAAAACTAAGAGTGACGTGTGGAATTTTCCCATTACAATTTTTTTGGCAACGCCTCCTTTCATTTTTAAGGGTCTTTGATTTATAGATTTCTACGACACGCTCTTCAGAATTGAAAGTGTCTTGACTGCTCTGTCCAACTTGTACTGGTCTGGGCCCTCCAGGCCCTGTTAAAGGCTGTTTGTCTGGAATCCTCCACCACTCCCATCCTCTCCTCTTCTTGGCCTCTGCACTTTTGCTCCTTGTGTTTTTAGCCATCATTTCATCAGCCTAGCTTTGGTCTCCATCCCACCATAGAGTCTTTGCCTTTTCCAGGGAAATTCATCCCACTTACCGGTTTTGTAATCGTTTATGTGCGGTTTTTATTCAGTCGCTAATAGGATTCTTGCTGCTTTTAAGGCTTTCTCATGACTTCCATTTTGCCCTTCCTTGTGGGGTTACTTCCTCCCCACTGCCCTGCAGTGTTCGCATCCTGGCATCATCCCTTTTCCCCTATCTTGGTTACCTCTTGGGCATAGGGGGAATGTTACAAAACGTTTGAAGCATCTTCTTCTGATTCCCGATGTTTAGCAAGAAGTCAAACGTGTCACATCAGGCTGTGCTCAGGGACCTCTGATGGCTGGGCCAGGACCCCTTCCTGCACCCCTTGCCTCCCCCAGCTGCAGGGCTTTTGCCCCTGTGCCCTGGGGGCTCTGGAGACCTCTGCTCTGCGGTCCTCCCCTCCTCCAGACCTGCCCACCTCCATCTTCCTCCATGAAGAACCTGCAGACCCCAAGGGCTTTATACTCACAGCAGCCCCCACTTGGTGTATTAGTTTTCAGTCACTACACAGCAAATTACCCCAGACTGATGCCCTAACACCATTTGTGAGCTCCCAGAAGCCCCTCCTGGCGGGGCTAGGTTCTCTCTGCAGGGTCTCACACTCTGGGGTGGGCTGGGCCACGTCCTCACCTGAGGCCCTGGGAAGTATCCCCTTGCAGTCTCATTCAGGGCGTTGGCAGGATTCAGTTCCTTGTGGTTGTGGGACCGAGGTCCTGCTTCCTGGCTGTCGGCTGAGGACAGAGTAGCTTCTAGAGTCTTCTCCCAGATCCCGGCTGGGCCTTCTCATAGGCTCTCACAACAACTGCAGCAGCAGCAGGACCCTCACGAGAAACCCTGGTACCCTCAGACCTCACTGCTGCTCCTCTGCCATCAGCCCACAGGCTCGTGTGATTAGATCAGCCTCACCTGGATGATCTCCCCTTGGCTTAACTCAGAGCCAACCACTTAGTAGCCCTCATTATATCTGCAAATCCCTCTGCCACGGAATCTAACATAACCTCGGGATAACGTCAGGAGCCAAAGGTCACAGGCCATCTCAGAGGTCTGCCTACCACCCCTGGTTTCAGCAATTTGTTAACATGTCAGCAGAATTCTTCACACACACAGGTGACGCTCGTGCATCAGGCTCACATCCCATCTCTCTGGGAGGGACCTGTTTCTTCCTTAGATTTCAAGAGATTCTGACCTCTGTCTCAGATGCCTTCAAGAAATGTAAGGATATTGTAGGTTATCTGAGTTGCTTCTTCCAGAGTGGGAGCCAGAAGGCCCATTTATCTTTGAAATTCAAAAGTGTCACTGAAACATTGATTTGAGATGTTCCCTCCGTTATTTTTGCCTATGCAAAATGTGAGCCCTCTCCGTGTGCAGAATCAAATCTATCTGCAGTTTATACGAGTTCTTTCCACTCAAAAAGCAGCTCTTTTCCTCCCACCTCTTCCCCATTCTTTTGTGCTGAAATTCACACAACCCAGCGCTGCTCTCCAGCCCTGTCCTCCTGGCTGATCTTGAATTTCACCTGCTCGTCACTGGCTCCCCCAAGTCCCGGCAGAATTTCGGGTCTTCGTCCTGCTTGGTGATCTGACCATCTGCTGTGTCTAATCCGCTGCCTGCCTCCATCCCTGCCAGCCGTGTGGGGGCTGGTGTTTCTCTCTTGATGGTTTACCCTCCGCTCCTGCCCTGATCTCACCTTCTTGAGGATGTCAGTTAACATTTTCTGACACACATTCCCATTTCTTGCAATAACTCTCTTCTCTTTTTAATTTGAGACCCTCAGATCCGACTCCTCGGATTCACCTTGTGTCTTGAACCACAGTTGATTGCTACTTATGTTGTGAGTTTTTCCTGTGCACATCGTTAAAGAGGGGATCTGGTCTTGTTCAAAGTTGGGAGTGGAGAAGAACCCATCGGGGACTTCACGTGTCCCTGTTTAGATGTTTCAGGCCCAAATGAAAGGCAGAGAGAAAGGCTCCAAGGGGGAGCCGTGGGGAGCCGGCATCAGAGGCAACACTGAGCCCTCACCAGAACTTTCCTGTTCCAGGAATGGGGAGGACCAGGGCCCTGTTCTCTGGGGCACAGCTGTGGTGGTGTTCCCAGCCTCTGCCTCCCTGGCATTGCGTGCCAGGGAATAGGGGGCCTTCCTGTCCCCCACCTGCCATGACCCTCCTTCCCCCCCATATCCCTGCAGTCCCCCTCCAGCCCTGGCCCTCTGAATCAGGGTCCCCAAGGTACCGGGAGCTTTCCATTTGGGGTCTCCACATATGGGTGCCACAGGCTTTTCGGGATGTTGTTCAAATCTCCTCTACCCCTGTTAATTTTTCTCCTTGATCAGAATTTACTCCATTTTTCAGTGAAGTGCATGTGCTAAAATCTATCAGTATTGTGTCAAATTTTTCTAAGAATTCTGGCAATTGCCATTTCTTCTATTTTTAGGCCAGCTTGTTCCGTCTGTCCTCCATCTCTCAGGAACCCTCCAAGTCCTAGTCTCCAGCTCTAAGGAAAGACTCTCTCCATTTTTGTAACCTGTTGGCCATTGCAGTGGGTGCCTGGGAGGGGGATTCAGACACGCCTAAGTCACCGGAGGCCCCAGGCACTTTTGACTAACAGCAAACCCAGGCAGAAGTGTTTCCAGCCAGGCTGGGGGCTCAGGACGTGTGGCTACACTGCCTGCTGCCCTCACCTCGTCCAAGTCAGACTGCCAGGCCGCCCGCGTAGGCTAGAGCAAGGGCTGCATTTTACACAGCATCTTTCACTTTCTCGGACTGCTTTTTCCCCTGTTTCACATAAGCCAATGTGTTTGTCAAGAGAAAGTTAATTAAAAACATATTTTTCTAATTAAATGGTAGGCTGTGCTATGCAAACAGTAAGATTCTTGTTTGAGAGCAAATCCCTCCCCGTTTCCAGGGCTACCCTGGGAATTCAATAGATCAACAATGCAGAACCGAGCCCATGGTGTGAGGACACGCGCCGAGCACAGCACCCGGGGGGTCTGTGGGCAGCTGGTTGGGCCTCAGAGCCAGCAGGAGGTGCGGGTGGAGGGCCTGGCACCGGCCCAGCATCACCCACACATGCCCACTGGGAGAGGCCGCCCCATGTTACCCTCGGATCGCAGCCAGGTCACAGCTGCGATGGCTCAGAGGGGCTCACAGCCTCCTCCCAGCACCCACACTTGCCACATCCAACCCTACCAGCTCCTCACGTCCCCCGGGTTCAGCCCTGTCGCACACCCTCTCCTCTTCTCCTGAGAACTCTCCCCCAGGGCCCAAATTGAGCTTCAGTCCAGGTTCTAGAAGCAAAGTCGGGGAGCCGCCCAGCCTCCCGAGCCAGCAGAGCAGGGAAGCTCAGGCTGCGCCCGGGCCACGGGGGCCCACGCTGTGGCTGGAGTGGATACCTGAAGTTCTGTCGAGAATGGCTGCCTCTGTCTTTCTTCAGGGTGCCATACTTATCCGATTTTTTTGTGTGTTAAGATTATTTTATCTTCATAAAGTGAAATGGTGAGCTTTCCATCTTTTTCTATCACCTGGAATAATCTAAATAGCCCAAGAGTTAAGCTTTCTGGAAAGGTTAAATTGAACTTACCCACCAACACTCGGCACCTCCTGTCCTCTTAAATAGTACGCTTTAACTCCCTCCCCAATCTCTCTCTATCTGGTCTGTTCTAGTTTTCCATCTCTTCATGGGTCAGTTTTGTTATTTGGAAGTCATCCACCTTATATTTTTAAATACATTGCCAGGGACTTGGCACAAATTTGTTTAACATTTTATTTACACGTATAGTTATATTTTAGTTATATATGTAGTTATGTCTGTTTCTGTCCTTGATGTTGGAGATTTTTATTCAATTCTCTTAATCTAACTTGCTAACAGTTCATCTGTTTTATTTGTCTTTTCAAAGGACCAACTTTTATCTCTTCTCTCATTTTTGTCTAATTTATTCATTTCAGCTTTTGTCTCTATTAACATCCTCTTTTCTGTTATTGTAATTTTTCTGATTTCTTAAATTGGACAAGTGATGTATTTCTGTCTGGGCTTCTCTTTCGATGGTAAAAGCATTCAGTGTTATCACATTTTCCTAGTTGTGGTCAAGTATGTGTCCCATAGGTTTTTGATATGAATTCTTTTCCTTCTTACCAAGTTTCTAGGAGTTTCAGTTTTTATTTCTTCTTTAATTCAAGGGTCATTTTAAAGAATAATTACACATTCGTGCTTCATTTTGTCACTACGTCTAGTCTTACTGGTGAGAAAGTGTGGCTCTGGGGCAGTTACAAACTTTTGATCAGCTTCTAGATGGATCTGTGTTTATGTTGCTGGTTTGTCTGCTGCTTGTTGGTTGTTGGTTGTTTCTTTCTTGGTTTGGTTTTGTCTATTTGTCTGTGGCATGTTTGGAAGGAAACTGAACATACCGATTGCAAAGTTTACACGGAAGAATAGATGTTTGAGATTTTCCAAGGAAATTTTGAAAAAGAACAGTAAAAAGGAATTTATAACGCTAGTATGGTCAAAGTGGGAGGGGTTGGCGCAAGGGTGGACAAATAGGCCAGCAGGACAGGGCAGAGTCCAGAGGTATCCGGCCGCCACTAACCAGCACCAGACCCTGGGCTCCTATCTCGGCTGCCAAGTCCCGCTGTGTGCAGTGGGGGGCCCAACCTCCTTATATCTGAGCACTTCCCGGTCTAGTTGTCCTGGGACTGGTCGGAGGGCTCCCCAGGCTCCCGGAGGGCAGGACCAGGTGGCCCTGCACTGCTGCCCCAGCCCTCGCCCACACCAGGGGCCCAGGGGATGCTTGCCAGCCAATGCATGAATCAATCCGTTGTCACCTAGTGGATAAAAGGCATCAGGCTGAGGACATGAACTCCGGGGCCCCAAAGGATGGATTTAGGGGCGGGGGGCTTGTGGCATGCTCTGCTCTTCATAGAGCAACACGCGGGATGTTTAAGGAGACCTCCATCTGCTGCATTAGTGCTTGACCTATTTTCCACCCTCCATTGTGCAAGACCTTCATTTTACAGCAGCTGCCATATGGGAGGGCATCTTCATAGCTCTCCTCCCAACCTTCTCTTGGTCCTGACAAGAACCCTGTGAGATTGCATCACACCCATGCCACAGATGGGGAAACTGAGGCCGGGGGCCCGGTGGTCCAAGGGCACACACCGAGCCCTGCATCCCTGCCCCAAGTCAGGCTCTTCCCTGCTCCAGCTCCCAGGGTGGAACAGCAGGAGCCGACACTCAGGGCTGGGCAGAAGGGCTAGGGTTCACACTTCCTGCAGCTATGTGAACCCTCAAACTGAACCTGGGTTTGTGAGGCTTGCTTGGCCAGCCCGCATCTCCTCCAGCATCAGGGCTTTGAACCAAAGCGATGCAAGAAATGAGATAACTCAGCAGGGCACAGGCGATGTTCACAAAGGGCGCCCCATCCAGTTATTACGGTTAATTTGAATTCCATAAAAGTTGAGTCATTACAAGAGGAGCGTAATGCTTCACATGAGTGGTTTGGGGCCTCTTTAAAATACCATGAAATATTTAAGCCATATTTGAAGGAAACCTCTGCCTTTCTACTGGAAAATATGTTACAAACAGAAAACGGCAATTTTCAAAATTGCAAGGAAGGGTGAAACGTCACGATTTTAGATACCATCTAAAGCATCGCCTTCCTCCCTTTCCTTTTTTAAAGCACTGAAGTGTCAGACAAAAAAACTATGTACAGGGTCACCCCGCCCATCTCCCCTTCAGCCAGCCTCAGACGGTCGACACCCGGCCACTCGCCCTCCACTCCTCTGCTAGTGGGAGTCAGTCCTCCTCTGTGAGCGGAGCAACATCTGCTCCAGCATTTGGTGAAAACTGGGTGAAAGGATGGATGTGAAGGCCCTCTAGACACAGCACCCAGGACACAGCTGCTCTGGTAGTTGTGAATGACCCGTGTTTGCCGGCTGACATGGGGACCCTGTAACTTGAGGGCTGGAGCCCGCGTGGGTCATCAGGGCTTCCTGCACCTTCAGCTCTCCCTCTCTGGCTCTATGCCCACTCTCCTCTTCCTTGCCCCCCAACACCCCACTCCCCTCTCTGCTGGCCCTGTGTCCCCTCCCCCAGCCGGGCTTCTGGAAGGGCTGTTCCTCCTCCCTCTTCCCCCCACCCTCAGCACCCCACCACACACACACACACACACACACACGGGTGCACTTGCACACAAAAGTCACCAGCAACATTTGGTCCCATCCAAAGTGTCCTTTTTGGGTCTGTGTCTACCTGACCCCTTGGGGCATCCCACACAGGAGACTGTCCTCTCCCTCCTTCCCAATTTCTACCAGCCCTCTGGTCCTCCCTGGGCTAGGTCTCCTCTTCTGTCAGCTCTAACATCCACTTGGCCCAGGGCCCCTTCTGGCCCCTTCTCCCCTCTCACCAGGGCAGCCCTCCCCTCCCCTGGCCCTCGGTGCCCTGGGCCTCCAGAGCCACCTGCTTCTGCAACACTGTCCCCCACATCCAGTGAGTCCTGGGTGGCCCCTCAAGACTGAACTCTGAACCTTCACCCCTAAACATGCTCCCCCGCCCACCTTCCCGTCTTACTAAGTGGGTCCTGGACCATCCAGCAGTCCAAGCCCAGGAGTCCTCAGCACACCGCCTGCTGCTCCTCCCCACACGGCCCCTCCAGGCTCTCTCTAAAGCCCACAGCACGCGCTTTCACTTCTTTTCCCCTTGAGTCCAAGCCACCACGGGCTCTGGTGTGGACAATGGGACCCCCAACTGGGGCTGGGGCCCCCAACTCATCTCCCCTCAGGCCCACCCCTCCCCTCCCACTCAGCCACCTGCAGCACGAGCGGGTGCGGCTCCTGACTCTTCAGAGTCCTCGGTACTGGAAGGCACTGGGCACTTCTTCCACGAAACACTCGGGAAGATTCAAAAGCCGCGGACTCGCCCGGTCTTACAAAGCCATGTTGCGTCGTGGGCGGGACTGCAAGTTGCGTGGCTCACTTGTGCATAGAGGAGAGTTCTCCGCTGTGTGCTGGCTCCGGAGCCAGGGGACACAACAGGAGCCATCTCCTTGTGAGGGCTCAGAGCAGTGGGGTGACAGGAGGCGGGGCTGCGGCACAGCAGGGGAAGGAGGCCAACAGCACCGCCGGCTGCGGCTGCAAGGCTAAGAGGACAGCACAGCGGGCAGTGCCCCAGGCACGGGGCAGCAAGGGCAGAGGCCCTGGGGCAGGAAAGCACGTGGCCCTCGTTGGAGAGTGAGCAGGGTAGATGAGTTTGAAGAGGCGGCCAAGCTGTCTAGTTAGTTTTCATCCTGAGGGCAGTGGAAATGGCAAGACTCAACGTACACTGAAGCGTGCAGTGAGGCCGCGCGCAGCCTGCCTGGAGACAGAGAGAGGTGCCCAAGAGAATGATGCCGTTTTGCAGGCTGAAGGCAGAGGGGCTGAGAAGAGGGCATGGGTAGGTGAGCGGGTCTGGGGGGAGGGCAAGGGACCATGGGCCATCCCAGGTGCCTGTGAGGCAGGGAGGGGAGTGCCTCTGGGGCGGTCACTGCAGGGCCCAGGGCAGGGTCAGAAGCGCTGAGGCAGGGGAGCACATGGTGGATTGCAGAGGCAGAAGGCTGGGGAAGGGCGGGGGGGCACAGGGGCTGAGCCCAACAGGCTCCGTGCACTTGGGAGGACTATTGTGGTCTTCATTCCAAGGGCTGGAAGCAGGGGAGGGATGCCAGATGTGTCGTCTGAGGCCACTGGCCACAGCAGAGAACCTCCAAGCGGAGCCCTTGTGCACGCTGGGCCAGCAAGGCCTGCTTTCCAGGAACCCCTCCCTCCCCCCAGCTGCCTGATCAGTGCACGTGGTACTTGACCTATTCCTGCCTCTTTACATCCCAGCGACCTGCAGCGTGGTCTAGGCAGACATCCTGTGCCACTCCTTTCCCTGGAGCACACCCCCAACCCGTGTCTCCAGGAGGGCCTGTGTCTCCCTTCCTCCAGGAGCGACTGGACCAGCTGCACCAGGCCCTGGATGAGAGCAGGAGGCACAGCCAGGGGCTGGCCCAGAGGGGGAGACTGCTGGAGGAGCAGGTCGCAGGCCTGGAGCGCCGGTGCCAGGAGGCAGAGGGCCCGCTGAAGCCCCTGCAGCAGGTGAGGGCCCCCCAGAGGGCAGGGCCCTGCGTTCCCTCCACAGAATCAGTCCCTCAGCATGAAGGGAGGTCCAGGTAGATGCTGGGGGCAGGTGTGCAGACCTGGGGCGGCCCAGACACCATCCAATCCCCGGCTGACAGACGGGGAAACTGAGGATGGAGGGGGCACGCAGGGAGTCAGGCCCCAGGCGTCTCCCCGATTTCCTGCTCCGCAGTAAGCACCCCTAGGACGGAGGGTCAACTGTGGGGCACGGCGCAGGGGAAAAGAATCGGCCGCGCCCGGGGCGCAGCCTCAGGCCGGAGCACCCGGCCCACGCGCGGCCTCTCCCCGGCCCAGGAGCGCGGGCGGCGGCAGCGCGGGGAGCTGGCGGCGGGGGCGCGGCGCGCGAAGAGGCGGGTCCGGCGGGAGCACACGGCAGCGCTGCGCACCCAGCGGGCTAGCCTGCAGGGGGAGCTCGCGGCGCTGTGCGCGCGCCGGGCGCAGGTACGCGGCTCGGGGACCCCGCGGCTCCAGTGGGTGGTCCCTGGTCTCTGGAGGGGGGCGGGGGAGGGGAGATGGTGGTCCTTGGAGAGCTAGGGGGGAAAGGAGAGTGGCCCCTCGAGAACTGGGGGGCGGCAGGGGAGAAGAGAGGGTGGTCCCCGGAGAGCTGGGGGGGCCAGGGAAAGGGGAGTACCCGGTGGGGGTCCAGACAGAGGCTGGCTGGGGGAGGCGCTGGCCTAGGCAGGCTTCTGTGTCTGCACCTGCTCTGCACCTGCTCTGCATCTGCCCACTGGCCTACAGCTCAGAGTCAGCCTGGCGCTGGCAGGTCACCTGTAGACCTCCACACCGCCCTGGTGTTGCCCCGCCCTCTCCCTTCGCTGTCCTTGGGGAGGCACCACAGGTTTGACACATCCCCCACCTTTGTCCCCAGTGTTGGAGCACTGTCCTGCTGGGAGCTGTGAGGCCCTGGCACACCGCCTACCTGTGGAGCCCCAGATTCCCCCGTCCATGGAGGGCACACAACAGGAGGGCAGGAAAAGAGCATGTGGTCGAGAAGTGAAGTCTAGTCTTGTCACCCCAGCAGACCCAACACAGGCGAGATGCAAGACAGGATCCCAACCAAAGAGGTTGAGCAAAGGCAGACAACTATCCCAGGGATGGGGCAAGGCTGCAGGCCCAGAGTGGGCAGAGGGAAGGAGAAAGGCAGGGAGGCTGACCAGCGGGGCCCACTGGCCAGTCATTCTGACAGCGAACTGTCCCAGGTGGGAGTGGACCCAGTCTCCATGTCTGAAATAGGTCACAGGGGAGCTATTTGGGTTGAAACTGGGAATGAGGGTCCCCAGAGCATCTTCCTGAGGCCCAGGTGGACTGATGGGGACACTGAGGCCTAGAGAAAGGAAATGGCGTTCCTGGAACAGAACGTCGCCCAGGCCCCAACTTCAGCTATGGTTCTGCAGGCCCACCCGGCAGGTGCCTGCTGTGTACAGGGCTCCCCACCACATCGCCCGAGAGGCAGCACCCATGTCCTGGATGTGCTCCCTCAGCCCTGCAGGAACAGGGCGGGGCTGCGAGGCACGGCCCACCCAGCTGACCCTGGGGGAGTGGGCCAGCCAGGCTGTGGGCTCGGGGGTTCTGACACCCTCACAGCCCTCCTGCAGAGGTGGGCAGGACCAGGGCTCCAGAGGAGGGAAGACAGATGAATCGGGCGGTAGGGGAGGGATGGGGATAGCCTTTGCGGGGCTGGTGACTTGGCGTCCAAGGCACTTGACCCCCTGGGCTCCGTGTCCCCACGTACAAAGTGGGGAAGGCAGGAGTCATGGCATTGGGGGGTGCTGAGGGCCTCAGGCGTGGACACCAGAGCAGGGTGGCCTTCCCAAGGCCTCACTGGGACAAGGATGTGGATGTGTCCTGCTGCCCTGGTGGCCTGGCGAGTCATGGCCAAGATCCTCTGTGAGCACGCCTAGGCTGTGCCTGGACAGAGGGTCTCGCTGCCTGTCTCTTGCACAGGATCTGTGTGCAGGCACAGACAGAGGAAGGGCACAGGGACGCGGACCTGCCGGCTTGGCACAGACGTCAGGATAAAGCTGCTGCCCTCCTGCTGCAGCCTGGCCCTGGGCAGAGGTGTGGGAGGGGCATGCCAACCTGGGCTTACCTGTGTAAAGGGGACGAGGCATTTGTCACTCATGGCTGTCCCAGGCAGTGATGTCTGGCCAAGCTCTCTTGGAGGGAGGGGGCGGGCTTGTCTTAAATGGCACGGCCCCGCAGACTCTGTAGGGGCCGCCTCAGGTCCAGTGGATTGTCACCCACTCTGCAAGACCTGCAAAGACTGTCTTTGCACTGCGACGGGGCTTATCTGGGCCTTGTGGGCCAAGCGGACCGTGGAGGCCAGACTCGGCCTCGGCAGCACCAAGTTGTGGCTGGTGCAATGAGTGACAAGGTGACAGTGTCCAGGGCTCTCAGACTCTGAAGGACAAAGATGCCAGCAGGACACGTGGACACAGTGAGGAGTGAAAAGATAGGCTCAGGGACAGAGAGCAGGAACAGGCCACCAGCCACAGCCGGGGTGGGGCAGGAAAGAGGGTGTTTATTGTGTCAGGAGCAAGATGCAGACCAGGAGGCCCGGGGTTCCCGGGGGTGACAGCTGTGTGTGGCGGTCTCCTGGTGCCCACCCAGCCTCCAGCCCCTCTCTGAGAAGGAGAGCTGGCTCCAGAGCAGACTGACCAACGCACCCTGAAGGAAAGCAGTGAGGCCCCCGGCGGGGAACTGCTGGGCCTGGAGCCTCCAGGAGAGCGTCTGCCCTGGTCATGTGTCCCCAAGCATGCATGAACATCCATCCTGGGCAGGCCCTGGCCACCAGGTACATAGTGTCCAGCTGAGGTGGACTCGAGGACAGGAGGGTTTTCCAGAGGGGAGTGGCTGGGTCAGTGGGGTGGCAGTTGGGGACAGGGACCCTGGGAACAGGAGTGGGATCAGGATGGAGACACAGAGGCCAGCAGATCAGGACAGTCACTGAAAGCCACTGGCCAGCTGTCCGCCCAGAGCCACCTGCTCTCCCAGGAAGGAGGGCTGGCCAGCCGGGCACAGTCATGGGATCCTGCTGCTTCTCCTGAAGCTGGGGAGACAAGACCTCAATGGCCCCTTGGGTGTGGAGGTAGGGGAGCATTTGCTGGGCGTAGGGCACCACCCTGGCCAGCAGAGCCCGCTGTGGGTCCCTGGAGCCAGGTGGGGGTGGGGAGGAGCAGTAATGAGCTCCAGGAGGTCCGCTGTGGGGCCGCCAAACCCGTAAACCCTTTATGGTGTCTCAGAAGGGGAAACCCGGATGTGGCTGTCTATTTATTCTGGATTTCACTCTCCTCTTCTCCTTTTAACGTGCACTTCCAGGAGTGCAACTGGATTTTTAAAGACACAGGGCTTTCTTTTTCAGGGGAGAGGGGCTCTTTGTTTTTCTCAGTCCTGAAGAAGAAAGGAATCCTTATGTTTGTAACGCTCCCACCACTGACCCCATAACTACCCTTGAGACTGATCTGCCACATCTCAGGGCCCCTGAGAGACCAGGCCCTCTCCAGCCCCAAGGGCGAGAGGGCCCTGAGGGAGGACCGACCTGGGACTTGGGCAGAGCCTGGGCTGGCCCTCTGAGACCACTGCTGCGCCACCTGGCAGGTGGATGTGGCCCGGCAGGCAGGACCCACAGGGCCGGGCACAGCCAGGGTGGTGGAGGGGGCTGGTTTGGAGAGCAGGGCCCGGGTCCCGATCCTGCCCCAGCTGCTGACAGGCCCAGTGCTCATCCAGGCCCCGGGGAAGGAGACCGTCCACAGCGAGCACCCATGAGGCATGCCCCTGGGTGTCAATTCCTTCCTCCAAAGGGGTCATCCACAGGGGACAAAAGGAGCCCACCAACTTTCCCACTGAAAATGTTTCCTCGGTCACCCAATGTTTATGCCCGGCATGGTGGGGGTGGGTGACCCAGAAGGGAGCTCTGTTCGGGCAATTTGCAGTTCCAAGGAGGACGGGTGGTGGGGATGGTGACACAGATGCCACAGGCTTGTTGAGACTGGGTCAGGGAGTCCTGCAAGCCGGCTGGGGGTGCTGGGGGTGCTGGGTGCAGGGGTGCTGGGTGCAGGGGATCGAGGCTCCATAGGCCTGGAGGGATGCTGGAAGGGGTGCTGGGCAGGGAGGGCCCAGGATGCCACCCTCGGAGATGTCGCTCTTCCCCCACTGAGGACAGCGACGGGGCTTCTGCTAGCCCGAAGCAGGATGGCGACTTGACCCCGTGCTTCTCTCTATCTGGCGGCAGATGCCAGGTGGCCCTGGGTGGACCGGATGTCCTGGCCCAGGGCAGCGCCCTCCCCCGACCCAGCCAGCTCTCAAGGGACCCAGAGCCCTTCCCAGAAACACCCCGTGTGCTCCCCAGAGGGAAGGCTGGCCTGACCCTTCACCCTGCCAGGAAGCCACTGCGGCTTCTGCTCTTGCAGAGGGAGCGGGAGACGCTGAGGTGGGAAGGGCACACAGTGAGGGTGGGGGCCAGGAAGGAGCAGCTGGGCCTGCCTGCTCCGAGAACTGGACAGGGCCCTGAGGCAGAACCAGCAGCTGCAGGTCAGCTGGGCTGGTGGAGCTCTGTGGACTTCAGCCTTGGGGGTGGGCCTGGGGTCAGGACATGTCCAAGTGGATCTGGGTCCCAGAAGGGTGGGCCAGTGTGCCCCATCTCATGCGCGCACACACATGGATGTGCATGCACAGACAGAAAGGGCAGGCTGGACCACTCCTACACAGGACAGATGCGGAGACACGGCCCCAGATGACGGTGGGGTCCACCAGGGTCACACCTCAGGTCCCAAGCAGAGCTGGAACCAGGACCTGGGGCTCCGTGGGCCCCTTCTGGTCTTCTCTCCAAGGCCCCGTGGGAGTGGTGGGACAGTCAGGGCCCTTGTGATCCGGTGCATGGACCAGAAGAGGGAGGAGTGTGGGCAGCACAGCATCAGGCAGGTCCAGGAACTGCTCCCATGTGTGTGCTGGGGGAATTTCCCCTTCCGCTGCTGGACAGACCTCCTATCCCCAGACAAGGAATTGGGAAATGGAGGCGGGGCAAGAATGGGGCTATGATGCCCACAGGACCCCCAGTCGGGCCAAGTGGAAACTAGGATGCCATTAAAACAGATGTAAGGCCACCCTGGAGGACTGTGGGTGGGGCTCTAACCAGACAAGGCTAGGGGGTTGAATGTGAGCTAAACCCCAGGTCTGCTTGCCCATCCTGGCCGGGGCCCACACCCCAGCAGAGTACAGTGGGGCCAGCTGAGGTCTGGATGAAGGAATAATGGCCCCAAGGGGAGGGCGAGACACCCCTGCCCCGGTATCTGTGCAGCCCTCGGGCAGGTGGACAGCAGTGAGGTGCCCGAGTTCTCGCCCCAGGTCCAGATAGCGGAGCTGGAGCAGGCCCAAGCCCAGCGGCTCCGGGAGCTGGCAGCCCGGCACCAGCAAGACCTGGCTGCAGAGGCCGCGGGGCTGCATGGGACCCAGCTGCTGGCCACACGGGCCCTAGAGACCGGAGAGCGGACCCACCAGCGGCGGGTGAAGGTGCTGGAGGAGCAGTTGGGGCCGGGACCCCAGCGCCCGGGGGCAGGAGGGTGGGGAGGACTGGCATCCTGTGCAGCATCCCACAGGGGTGCCCGCCTGGCCTCGGCCTGAGGTCCTCCAGCAGCGGGATCCCAGTGCTGCTGCCCAGTGGACTCTAGACCACCTTGGGGGCCCTCACATGTCCGTCCTGGCACTCCCACACCTCACTGAGAGGCGGGGTGGGATTCCAGGGCAGGTCACCACCCTCTCTGTGCCTCCATCACCCCACCCATAAAGAGGGGCAGTGAGGACAGTCCCTCGGTCAGAGTTCACTGCGTGTAAAGTGTCCAGACACTGCCAGGCACACAGCAGTTGTGGCAGAGGTGGCTCCTGCACCTTGTTCTTCCCAGTCAGGACGGGAGAGCAGTGGTGTGTGGGGGGACGGGGTGGTAACAGAGCAGCAGAGCCTTGGGCATGGACCTGCACTGCCCACACACACAAGCACGCACACACACACCTGGATGTGCCTGCCTGGGCTGACCCGCAGGCTCCGAGCTGTCAGAAACCTGGGAGCCATCTGCTCAAAACTCTCATTTTACAGATGAGGAAACCGAGGCCCAGAGAGGTAAAGTGATTGCCCAATATCACCCCCAAGTTAGTGTCCCTGATCCACCAAGCCACGTTTGCTGTCTTCACGAGCCGAGGAGCGTTAGTTCCTTATTCTGAGTACGTTCATGGCCTGATGGAAGGGGGTCCGTCCACTGCGGGGTGCAGTTGCCTCGGTCCCTAGGAGCCCCATGGATGGGTGTTCCTGATGAGAGGTGGGACTGTGCATTCCCCGTCTGGTTGCTAGTGGGTCTGTCTGTCTGTCTGCCTGGTGTTTCTCTCCAGTGCACACTGCCTCTCTTCAGGAACCATGGATGGGGGCCTTCCTATCACAGTGCTCTCCTGCCCATGTGCCTTGGGGGCCTTGGCCACAGGGCCTGCCCACCCCACCTGAAGTCCTGCCGTGTCCCCAGGTGGCCAGCCTGAAGGAGCAGCTGGACGAGGAAATGCAGTGGTGGCGACAAGCCCGCCTTGGCCAGGCCTTCTGGGCCAAGCAGTGAGCCCTGCTGCAGATCCCCGGGCGCCTGACCATCACAGCCCTGACCAGCCAGGGCCCGCAGAACCACCACAGGGCAAACCAATGCCTGGTGCTGCACAGAGAGGGGCCGAGCTCAGCAGGCGTCGCCTGACTCCCCTGACCACAGAGCTCCTCTCAGCCCTTGGGACCTCGGCCTCTGGCTGGCGCTGAACCTCGCTTCAGGTCACTTCTTTCCGATGCCCCCCTCCCGGCTGCGGGGAGCCCCCTCACAGCCCGCACGGGGCCTGGCACTCAGTTTCCGCTTCGGACTTGCGCATCTGGCCAGACCCTGGTGACCAGGCCCTGTCAAGCTGGCTTCCGCTCCCGCAGGCTGCATTCCGTGCCCTCAGCTCTGTAAACACAGGGAAACACGTGGAAAACATTTCCACCAACTGGAGCCAAAAACATAATGTCCTGCAAGGCCCAGCCACCACATCCCCACAGCCAGAGGCTGCGGAACCTTCCACATCCAGGAACTGCAGGTCCGTCATGGTGGCAGGTGGCTGGAAATGACTCAGAGTCAAGTCCCCGTGACTCACTGGCCACGAGAGGCATTGGAGTGTGAAGTTAAAGCTGTTACAGAACCTCCCACTTTCCCAGCCATAAACTCTGGGAAAATTCCTGTGGGAATCCAGCCCTGGTTGCTACAGAGATCAAGGCAGCCATTTTGGCCCTGCTGCTTGGTTCACCTATTAGCATTTTTACTCATTTCCCTCCATTAACATGGGTCAGAGTGATTTGTTTTCCTCTCCAAACAGCCTCTTTTGTCTCACAAGTGGTACATTTACAATATCTGTGGAGCACCAGCCAGCCTAGTCAATTCCTGCGTGCACAGGTGCTGCTGTCGCTGTGAGCCAGGCTCCCCCTCCAGGAGCTCCTGTCACACTCTCAAGGACTCACCTGGAGGACGGGAAGGGCCAAAAGCTCAGAGTCCACCCCATCACAGTCATCGTAAGCTGTGGCCCAAATGTGTGACACCTATCTGTCTGTCTGTCTCAAGACTTATCCAGGACTTAAAATAGGCTGATCTGTCAGACCTTGCTTTCTGATCGATTTACTAATGGAGTTATCATATGTCGTAAACTGTACAAATGCAATGGCTAGAAAGAGGTGGGCAAATACGCTTCATTCTGCCTGTCAACTCTGCCTAATTATCGGTGGCTGTGTTGAGAAGGATTCGGAAGTTCAGCCCGGCTCAGAGGGGAAGAGTGTGGTGACCCATTAGCAATGGCTGCTCCAGGCAAAGGAGGCATTAGTGGTGGTGTACCACCGATATTCGCCCACCTGCACTGCCCAGTTAGGGCAAATAGCAATCCAGCAGAGGAGAGCAGGGAGGCTCACGCCACTGCTGGAGAGTGTTCTGCAAAATGGGGAAGGGTAGGGCCTTGAGAGGTAACGTTTGGCACTCAGGGCCTGGATGTGACCCTTCCCTTCCTTCCCAACCCGCCTGCAGTTTGCTTGTGGAGGACCCCCCACCCCCACCCCCAGCAGAAGGACCTGAGGGATGGCAGGGTGGGGAGGAAGGAACCAGAAGCTAGAGATTGGAGTCTGTGTCAATGCTTTCCTCTCTGCATCCCTGCAGTGCGCACTGGTGTCTGAGGTGTGACACCTTTGGGACTGAAGCTCCCAGCACGGAGGAGGTGCTTAATAAGTGCGCATGGATGAAAGAGGAGTACATTTCAGATGTGAAAGGGGTTGGGATGCCTTCTCACTATTAAAATGAAAGGTGCCCATAACTTGACCAACATTCTCACTGGCAATTTTGGGGACCTCCTTGCCCCGGCTGCTCACGGGAGACATTCAGAGTGCCTGGGATGCCTCTAAGACTTTTACATTTCAATGATTAGTTCAATCAATGTAGGAAATACTATTTTTACTTATTCAACATAAAGTTGTATACTTAGGAAAAAGAGAATTTTTCTAATGGAAATAAATCTGCGTGTTCCTAAGTGTTTCCAGCAGCGAGTGGTTTAGGTTCTAGCAATTACTGAGGAACTTAGAAGAGCCTCACTCCATTCTCACAACACCCCTTTGGGGCACCAGTTTACAGGGGAGGAGGAGGCAGGACCTCCACAAGGGCCACATAGCCGGTCAGCTCAGCAGGAGGTCAGAGTCAGGCCCGGGGGCCCTACGCTGGCCTCACCCCACCCCGTTGGTCCACCCAGTCTTCGGGCACAGGGTCCTGCTGACTGGAGGACAGAGATGAGCTGGGTGGACCAAGCAAGGTGAGGCCTGGTGCCCGGGGTCCTGGAGCCCTGCTGGGCATCTGTCTGTCCTCACACACACTGCCCACCCCACCCTCCTGGAGGTGAGGCCAAGGGAGGAGAGGGCTGGAGTAGGGGCCATTCCAGTGTGCAGGGGGTGCAGCTGGACTGTTGCGCTATGCCCTTCCTGGAGTCCGAGGGGAAAGGACTGTGGAAGGCGGCCTGCTACCCACCTGCCTGCTCTCTGGAACTCAGAAGAAGGCTGGCAGCTGCTTCTTCCCCTCCCATCCCATGTGGAGGCCTCTGGCCTGTAAGAGGCCCAGCGGGTCCCAGCGTTGGTTTGGGATTTGCAGGCCTTGGAGAGGAGTCACAGCTCCACCCCTTTCCCAGGATCCCAGACAGGCTCTCTAGGCCTTGGTTTCCTCATCTGTAAAGTGGGGTGACCCCACTCCAGAGGGTCATGGTGAGTCCATCTGAGGGGTGGCCCAGGCTGACACCAGACCCTTTGTGAGCATTAGCAAATGGTGGCAGCGCTATCACCCTGTAGCCACTGTGGTCAGGGGACCGCCAGGTCTGGGGCATCAGCCTTCCCAGATGTCAAAGGACAGGCCCTACAGCCCACAGTAGTGAGGGGTGAACGAAGGAGGAGGCTCACCCCCAGGGAGAGCAGGAGAGCTGCAGAGGAAGGGCTGTCCCAGGGCACGTGGGCCAGGAAGGAAGGCAGTGATGCCCCAAGACAGACTAGGTAGGGGAGGGTGAAGGAGCACCCCAAGGAGACAGGCCCCAGGCCTCCAAAGCACCCCGGCTTGCGAGGGAGGCAAAGGCTCCCCCTTGGCCACAGCTGGAGCAGGAAATGGGCTGCAGGAGCAAGGAGGCCAGCTGGGACCAAAGTGATTGCTACTTGGGCTTCTAAAACATTAATATTTTTCAAATAATTGCAAATGAACATTTTAGCAAAGAAACATATAAAGAAGAAAGCCACCACCACCCACAGTCCTCACCTGCACATCCTAAGGTGGAATCGGAGCATTTCCTCTTTCCATGCGTGTGCTTGTACACGTTGGGGTTCCGCAGTATATGCCATTTGGAATACTCTTTTGTAAAATTTTTAGTTGACATCATATCATTAGAGTTTTCCCATGTCATTAAAAATACCACAGAAGCATGATTTTATTGGCTGCAGAACCTGCCGACACAGGGACAGTCCCTGGGTCCCCTCAGGCCTTCCACTGTGGCTGTCCCTGGGTCATGGGACACTGGGGAAGTGGCAGTCTTTGCCCCGCACACTGGGGGTGATAGACAAGGCTGCCTGCAGGAGGCAGGGAGGGGTTTCTCATCACCCCAAGGGCCACATCCCTGAGCCCACCTGTAACCCGTTTATGGCCTCTCCCTGCAGAATCTCCAGCTCAAAGTGTTTCCAATTCCTCTCTATTTTTTAAAAATAAGACAGCAATGAACACCCCAGGAAGTGAATGTTGAACCCCATTTCGATCATTTCTCTAAGATCAATAGCAGAAGCCCCATCATAGGTGGGGGAGGGGCTCCGGGGAGGCTGCGCCCCCTCGCTGCACAGAAGGGGAGAAGCTGGGGTAGGAGGGCTCCAAGGACCCTCTATGTGTGGAGGGCTGTGCGCCCTGAGCCAGGCCCTCCTATCTCTGCCTCGGTGGACCAGCTGCACCCAGGCCCCATCCAGCCTTACAGTGTAGTGACCGGGTGGGGTGGGCCTCTGCAAGAGCTGGACCCTACCTGCCCCTCTGGGGCCTGTGACCTCCAGACCTCATTCCCAGACCAGGTGGGGAGTTTACTGGGGCAGGGGCTTCTGGTTTCACATACATGGAAGGACCACCTGCTCTGGGGAGATTGATGCTCAACCAACTGCCTCTTGGAGAGAAGGACAGAAAGTTGGAGAACTGCAGCCAGCCAGCCCCCGCCACTAGCAGCTCCACCCAGAGCCCACAGCCCCACAGGGACCAGCTGACTGGCCAGTGTGGGCGGGGGAGGACACTCCACACCTTGCCCGGCATGGAGCCCCGAGTCCTGGGGTATCCCGAGGTCGGCTCTGGAGCTCCCTCATCTAAATTGCACACACACTCAGGCCCTAAATTAAAATGTCACAGGCCTGTTGGGGAGGCTCGGGTTTCCTGGCCGCAGAACATGAGCCTGCTTGATAAAACGATTTTGGTTTTGATAAATGTGGACTTTCTGTGGCAAAGACAAAGGCACCCTTGAGTCCGGAGGGGAACCTAAAACGGTACATTGCTGAAAAGTATTTCCTGATAATATTTTTAGCACCTGAAAAAAAAACATTTTTTTTCTCTTTTTCGCCTGTGCAGTTGGGTTTTTTTTTTTTTGAAATGTAATGCCCAGCAGTAGTGGGGCCTTGTGTTAACCCCCAGTCTCCCAGGCTGGGCTGCAAATCGGCCCAGGATGAAGGCCGTGGAAGGTCAGCAAGGCCTCTGGGGGGCACCAGCCTGAGCATCCCACAAAGCCACCTCGGGGATTCCCCTGAGCAGCTGGGTGGGGACACCCCGTCTAGGCCAACCGCTCCCACCATGCCTGGAGAAACAGTCCTTCACTGGGTGCATCTACTGAGCACCACTGTGTGCCAAGGGGTGGGCTGGGCTCCTGGCTAGCCCTGCTCCCTAGAGGCCCCCAGGGGACCCAAAATCTAGCTCAGAAACGGGCCTTTATTAGGGTCCCCTGAGCCATGTGCTCAGGAGAAGGTCAGCAGTGCTGAGGAGGGGCCACCGCAGCCTGGGCAGCCTGCTCGGAGGAGGAGGGTGCA